CTGGTCACCGCAGTGAGTTCCAGAACAGTGCGACCCTGACTCAAAAAACAAACAAACAAACAGAAAAGATCTGTGAGAGGCAGCTCAGTGTTAAAACAGGATAATGTCCTGCTTTCCTAGTGGATTTGAGGTCAGTTCCTAGCAACCTTGCTGGGAGGCTCACAGCAGCTTATAACTCCAGCTCCAGCCAGAGCCCCTGCTTCTGGCCTCCATACCCACACTCAAACATCCCATACACACAAACACATAATTAAAAAATAATTTTTTAAACATAGCTTTGAGCCAGTGAGCATGCATTTTGCCCGAGATAGTGGTTTTTCTCAGCGTTAGGACTAAAAATACACAAATTCATATACCAACCCTAGTATTTATTCTTTGGGCTGAAAGAAATCATATGCAGTTCATATATAAGTATAGTTTACATATAAGTTACTGATTTTTCCAATCTATACTGACGTAAAGATTAATTAACTAGTAAGGTGGTGTGGCACACAACTTTAATCCCAGCACTCCAGGAGTTAGAGCAGAGGCAGGCCGAGTTCTGTGAGTTCCAGGTCAGCCTGGTCTACAAATGGAGTTTCAGGACAGCCAGGAATGTTAAACAGAGAAACCCTGTCTCAAAAACAAAACAAAACAAAAAACCAAAAACAAACAAACAAAAAATAATTAACTAAAAATTCACTTGGAAACATTTTGAAGGAGCTGGAGAGAACACTCAGCAGTTGAGGCTGGTGCTCCTGCAGAGGACAGAGTTGGGTTTGCAGAACCCATATGAGGTGGCAGCTCACAACCGCTTCTAACTCCAGACACAGAGGACCTGATGCCCTTTTCTAGACTCCGTGGGCATCCCCCACCAATAGATACACAGATAAAAACACATATACATATAAATATAAAAATAACAAAATAAAAAATTTCTTAAAGTGAATTAGAATTTGGGGGGGAGTGTTTCACAGGGTCTCTCTGGGTAGCCCTAGCTATCCTGGAACTCACTCTACAGACCAGGCTGACCTCAAACTCACAGAGATCCACCCACCTCTGCCTCCCCAGTGCTGGGATTAAAGGTGTGCTCCATCACCACCCTGCATATTAATCCATATTAAGTATGTTCACAGGCAATTGCACAACTTTACAATAGAATCTGAAAAATTGAACATTACTGGCTTTTCCTTTTGTCTCAAGATCCAGTATGGCTTTGCATAATCAATCCCATTATTCACTTTACGTTCATTTTTATTATTTTCTCATCACGAAATCTTTGTATTAATTATTGTTTGTTTATTTTGTTTTTGAAAAGGACTCTATGTAGTAGAGACTGGCTGAGGGGTTTGAATGAGAATGACCCCATAGGTTCATATATTTGAATGCTTGTTCCGAAGTTAGTGAAACAGGGAAGGGATTAGGACATGGGATCTTACTGGAAAAGGTGTACCCTTGGGGGTTGACGTCGAGGTTCAAAAGCCCAAACCATTCCCAATTAGCTTGTGCTAGTCTCTTTCTCTCTCTCTCTCTCTCTCTCTCTCTCTCTCTCTCTCTCTTTCTCTTTCTCTCTCTCTCTCTCCCTCTCTTATGGTTTTAAATGCAGCACTTTTACCCTGTGAGGAAAGGTCATTATGAGGCACGACCAAACCCAGTATCAGACCTTTATTGGGCCGGGGGGAACAGAAGAGAGTGACCAGGCCTGGCCTGTGAAAGACACGTGGGGGGGGGGGGTGCAGAAGAGAGACGGGAAGAGTCTGTGATCCGCTTTTTATGGATTTCCCTGCACATGCACAGGTAGGCTTACGGAGCTAGCCATGCATGTGCAGATTGCATAACCACGCTGGGCACACTGATGATGTAAGATGTAAGTCCCCTTGACTACTGAATTACGCATGCGTGGTCATGCAGCTGGAAGAGTGGCAGAATCCTAACACTCTCTCTCTCCCTCCCTCCCTCATGCTTGTCAATCTCTCAGCTACTTCTCCAGCACCCTGCTTGTCTACTTGCTGCTATTCTCCCTGCCATGACATTCATGGACTCACCCTCTGAAACTGTCAGCAAGCGCCCATTAAAGTCACGTGCCACCATGTCCAGCTGTGTTTTTATTTTACTTATTTGGTTAGTTTTACTTTTCATTGTTTTGAGACAGGATCTCACTTTCTAGTTCAGGCAAGTCTGAAACTTGCTCTGTGGACCAGGCTGGCCTCCAACTCTTCCTGCCTCAGCCTTTTGGGCAGTAGGATAATAGGCCTGTACAAACGTGTTTAGCTCATTCACTCTCTTAAATCACATGAAAATATTCTTCATCTTACTAAGTTTTTATTTTTAATTCTCTCTCTCTCAGGGGGTGGGGGATAGGGAATGTTGTAATAGGGTTCTCCCTATGGAGCCCAGGCCGACCTGGAACTCACTATGCAGACATGGCTAGCCATCTTTTTTCGTTTCCTTCTTTTTGTAAAAAAGTGGCCTCTTTATAAACTCTACTAACTTTTTGTTGTTGTTGCTTTTGGTTTTTCGAGACAGGTTTCTCTGTGTAGCCCTGGCTGTCCTGGAACTCTCGGCAGACCAAGCTGGCCTTGAACTCAAGAGATCTTCTGGCCTCTGCCTCCCAAGTGCTGGGATTAAAGTTGTGTGCTGCTGGTGCCACCGCCGCCGCCGCCGCCGCCGCCACCACCATGTGGCTTTTTTTCCCCTAATGTCTTTTTCTTTCCCCTTTTCACAATTTCTCACTAGGTAGGTCAGACTGGCCTTAAATTCTTCCAGTGATGGGATTATAGGTATATACCACCATGGGAACCTGTACTTATTGTGCTATGGGAGGCCCTTTGGCCCACTCCCAAATTCTCTGTTTTATAGTGTTTTTGATATATATATATCAATATATATATATCGATATATATATATTGTTATGCCCAGATTGGGACCCCAAAGACAAACCACCACAGACCTTAGGTTCAGAATGCAATTAGCATGGTTTATTTCTGTTTACAAGCCGCGGACAGGGAAGCTCGATCCAAAGCACTCACTCGTAGTCGTGAGGCCAGGAGGAACTTGCTTTTTCTTTGTGTGGCTGGCTTTTTAAAGGTAAAATCCACAAGCCCTTCAGGGGGGTTGGGGGAGTTTTGCACGGGTGCAACTCGGATTGGTTTATCTTTATCTCTGTTCTCTTTTAATTGGGTGAGGGTATGTAACCTTTGAATTTACTGGTTGGTGGTTACAATTTATTACTTTGGGGGCAGTCCAGCACAAGTCCCAGGCTTTGTCCTTGAGCCACCATGGAGGCTGGCTGGTCAAGCACGTACTGCACATAACTCTAAGTTGGTGAGGGGCCCCAGAAAGTAAACATCTGGCTAAACTTTGAGCAGTCTTTTGTTCATGGCCCTCCCAGAAACTGCTTGCTCAAGTCTCAGGAAACTGAAATTGAGGCCTGATCTCTGAGAGAAGACTGAGCAGCCTGTTATGGCATCTGCTTGGTCCTTTCAATATATATGTATTTTTTTTCTGAAAAACACTGGAAACCTACAGCTTGTGTTAAAGCTGGAAAAAATTTTTTCAAAAGCGCTGTAATTAACTGGAGGCAAAGATGTCATTTAGATTAGTAGTCAGCATGGTCAGAAGACACGTGGCAGTGTTATGACGGAAGACACTAGTTCTGGTTATAAAACAGTATCCAGAATGAAGCAGGAGGCTGGAAGAGTGGCACAGGTCAGACACCAGGCTGAGGTTGCATGCAGAGAGACAGCTTTGCCTGGTGTGTGTGAGGCAGCAAGAGAAAGAAAGAGAACAGAAAGTGAGGAAGCAGGAGGCAAGTGCACCAGGCATGGGCAGAATTTGGTGGAAGGCTGAAGCAGGAGCACTGTCATGAGTTCAACGCCAGTCTAGCTACAGAATAGGATCATAAGTCACCTAACTCTTTTCCCTTAAAGAGAGAGATGTCCCAGTAAATAGGGGCTTGGGCCAGCCCTGGTTTCACATATCAAACTGGCCTGCATGAGCTTGGGATCGGCCCTGCCAAGCTTCTCCTCAGCTTGTCACTGTCCGTCTGTGAAGTACCTTAGTGTCTACTGTCTAGTCAGGATACAATAGAAAGTTTAGGAAGATGTCTGTGAAGTCACAGCAGCTATTTATTTAGGTGTATGTGCTTAGTATGTGAACAACGTCATCAGTCATACTGTGCCCAATCCCACAGTGCACTTCATTTTGAGGCAAACTCTCCCTTCTAGTTTCTGCTGCATGGAGTTCTCCAGGCTAGCTAGCCCTTAGGCTTTTTTTTTTTTTTTTCTGCCAGGGGTGGATGGGTGGGTGGGTGTGGTTCTCAATTAGTGGTAGGGATGTGTTACAGATGCATGCTACTGTTCTGTGATGGAAGTCAGCCTGTCTGGCAACCCACTCAACTATCTCCCCTAGTGGGTAGCTTTTTTTTTTTTTAATTAAATTTTTTTGTTTTGCTTTTCGAGACAGGGTTTCTCTGTGTAGCTTTGCGACTTTCCTGGAACTCCCTCTGTAGTCCAGGCTGGCCTCGAACTTACAGAGATCTGCCTGCCTCTGCCTCCAGAGTGCTGGGATTAAAGGCGTGCGCCACCACCGCCCGGCTGAAATTAAAATTTTAAGTTATCATAAAAACCATAGCTATTGTCACTAATTATTGGAGGAAGTTAAAGAGTTGGGACTGTTTCAATGATATTTGATTAGCATTCACTGATTTAGTTTTCAATCTCCAGTTCTGTGGGACAAGCGCTGGCCTTACATGCCCAAGGCCCTGGGTTCAATCCCCAGAACTAATCAACAACCAAGGGATCACAGAAGCCTAGGAATGTCTTAGGGTTTGGGTTTATAGAGACTTGCACAGTGGACACTTTCAAGCAGAAATTTTCCATTGTCTTAAGTTTATAACACCACCCTCCTACACACACACACACACACACACACACACACACACACACACACACACACACACAGAAGTAGATTTCAGAGGGTGGCTTAAAGGAGACCGAAAGGCAGAAAGCGAGAGGCAAGTCTGACTGTGGGCAGAACGGTGTTTATTGGCGGACAAACTGCAAGGGGGACACAATCTCACTCACGTGAAGGGATGAGCCATACGTCCCACGCTATGAGGGGGGATGAGAGAACACCTCATACCATAAGAGAATAAGATAAGAAAATGACTCAGTACAGGCAGACAGATGAGAGGATACTCCGGGAAGAAGGCGGCTACGACCTTTATAGGGGTATAAATGACTACCTCACCTGTTATACGTTCCCTCCTGTAGTTTCTCAGTTCCGGAGTGCCCTCGTCTGGCCGCAAGGGAACCTGGGAGGTGTAGTCTTTCAGCAGGAAACTATCGTTCCAAACTCTAGGATACAGAGAAAAGGAGCGCTGTTTTCCTGCTGAGGAGGGTCTTTGTCAGAGGGGGTAGTTATGGGCCCACTGAAGTGTGTGTAGGGGGGTGTCTTCTGGTCACTTAGCAGGAGGAGAGTTTTAACTTGATCGGCTGTGATGAATCATGTTGTTGGAGGCGGGTGGTCCATTGAAGAGGCGGGTCCTCTGGTCACTTAGCAGGAGAGTTTAACTTGATCAGCTGTGAATGGATTATGCGATTGTCATCCTGTATTCCTAAAGAGACTTTTGAAAAAGAATTGTTAAAGGGCTGTAAGCAGTTGATTTTGTTATAGAGTAAAACTGAGAGATTTCCCTGGAACGTTGAGGGAGGGAGGGGAGACAAGTGTAACCCAGTGAGACTTAAGTGGGCTTGGAGTTGATTCAGGGTGACAGTGACTAGTCCCATTGCCAGGACTCCTGTGCCAAAACAAGCTAGCAGAAGTAGCAGGGAACTACAGAGCATCAAAGGAAGGGAACAGGAGAGAATAGAGGACAAATGTAAAGAATAATATTTGGACCCTGATGAAAGGGATGAAATTCCCTTTCAGCCAGTTTATTGACATCATCTAAAAGGTCTTTTTTTAGATATGTTAGGAACAAATGGAGCTGTTGTAGGGAGAAAGTCAATGGGAGAGCTTACATGGAACATTCTGTTTGGGTATGGGGTGAAATTCAGTAAAACATGTAAAAGACAGGGTAATACATTAAGTATGAGTATATTAATATATATAATATGTAATAAAGGAGGATGGAAGTCATCAAGGGGAGGAACCAGAGTGGCAAGGAACCAAAAGGAATTTTTGTCTGGTCCCTGTGTCTTGTGCTAAGCAGAAGTCCCTTCCTTCTTTCCTTCCTTCCTTCCTTCTTTCTTTCCTTCCTTCCTTCCTTTCGTTCTTCCTTTCTTTTGTTTGTTTTTTCAGACAGGGTTTCACTGTGTTGTGTAGCCCTGGCTGTCCTGGATCTCACTTTGTAGAACAGGCTGGCCCCTTGAACTCAGAGATCTGCCTGCCTCTGCCTCTTGAGTGCTGGGATTAAAGACATGTGCCATCACTGCCTGGTAGAAGCATATTTCTTAACATCATTTTATTTAAAAATAGATTGGTGGGCTAGAGAGATGACTCAGAGGTTAAGAACGCTAGCTGCTCTTCCAGAGGTCTTGAGTTCAATTCCCAGCAACTATATGGTGGCTCACAACCATCTGTAAAGAGATCTGGGTGCCCTCTTCTGGCCTGCAGAAATATATGCAGACAGAACACTATATAAGTAATAAATAAATAAATCTTTTTTTATTTTTTAATTTTTTTTTCGAGACAAGAGTTTCTCTGTATAGTTTTGGTGCCTGTCCTGGATCTAAATCTGTAGACCAGGCTGGCCTTGAACTCACAGAGATCTGCCTGGCTCTGCCTCCCAAGTGCTGCGATTAAAGGCATGCGCCACCACCGCCCGGCTAAATAAATCTTAAAAAAACAAAACAAAACAAAACAACAACAACAAAAAACACAGAGCTGTGGGTACAGCAACATCTTTAAAAAAAAAAAAGAGAGAATGGTTTAGAGGCATAATTTGTAAAGCCAGATAAGCAAATTAAATGAGCTTTCGGTTTTTGGAATTTATTGGAAAACATCCACAAGTACCACTTCCAAAGCCTGTCTCCTCCTTGTAGGCACTGGCCCTGGACCTCTCTGTTTCGATAGAGACTAGGTTATACTCTTAAAGCACCACAGGTGAGCCCAGGTTGGAGAGAATCTCCTTCATCTAAGTCATCTCTTCCTGAAGAATCTGAAGCCGTGGGACATCACTTAATAGAATCATTTGTTGACTCTACAGATATAAAACCAACTGTCAAAGACATGGCTTGGATGTTCTGAATAACTTTCTCAAGCTGTGAGTTTGATGACAGAGTATCTGGCATCTTCCTTTAATGAGAGAACAAGGGTGGTTAGGGTGAGGACCCTGAAATTAGCTTTTACTAAGAGGAAGAATTGAATGCCAGGGTAGAAGTCATGGCCAATTAAACTATTATGCAGGCCTCACCTACGTCAGGTGGTAGGCTTAGGTACAAGGTTCCCCTGTTCACAGCATCCTCATATGTCAGTGCAGAGACATTGAGGGCAGAGTGTAATTGCTATTCGCCTCTCTGTTGTTTGAGATATTTAGGATGTGGGTGCAGACTCTGAGGTACTCCAATGGGTGAGAGAATCCATCTCTTGTCACGGGAGACATAAGGAGTAATTCATCTTTAGATAAGTAGTGAGTTTTTTGTTTTTTCCTGGTTTGGCCTACGTGGCCAGAGTTGGTCAGGCCTACCTAGCCAGAAGCAAAAGCAGCAGACTTCTGGCAGGTCTTATTTCCCAGGCATCCTTGTCCCATAATGAGGTTAACATGCAGCCTGCTCTGGTTGGATGACCTGTGCCCCATCCAAGGGAACTACTAGGGCCTGAAGACTTCCTACCATCCAAGCCTACTGTAAATTTAACTCATTTTACTCAAGCATTCAATAATTCATAGCTAGTTTTTTACACATCTGATATTGAATATTATTTTATATTAAATAAACTAAGTTTACTTTAAACTTGTTTTGAGTTACCACGTTTGGCTTAATTTTGACAACAGAAGACTGCATAATGAGAAATACAAATTGGTCTCTCCCTCCAAGCTTGTCTCTGCAAATGTGACATTTGTAGTTAGCATGACTGACTGTTAACTTGTATTTCTTAATTATACTTAACAGTTTACAATAAATCAGTTAACTCACAAGTTATACACAGCCCGTTTTCTTGCTGCATAGCCCAATCTGGCCTTGAACTACAGGGAACTGTCAGCTCTCTGTCTCCAGAGAACCTGAATTAGCAGGGTGCACAACCACATTCAGCTTCTTCCTGTGACTTTTGTGCTTTCAATAGCACTCTGGACCCAGGTTGAGTTACTAACATTGTCAAACACAAGAAAAAAAAAAAAAAAAAAAGCAGCTCAGCGAGATAGAAGTCGACTCTCCTGAGTTTCCCCTATTACGAGAGCACTGTCTGAAACGAAGGTCCTGGCTCTGTTTTCAAATTTCCTTTGCAAAGCAGGCAAGCACTGTAGCTGGAGGCGGGAAACTCCAGCAGGAACTCAGAAGGTGAAGTCAGACTCGACGCCACGCCCCCCTCTCCCCCAAAGCCCCGGAGGAGGAAGTGGCGAGGCCACCGAGACGAAGGCGGAGGCTAGGCTAGAGCGGCCAGGGCCGGCTGAGCGGGGACCGGCAAGGGGCGGGGACTCGGGGCGGAGCCTCCGGAGCGGCGCGGGCTCAGGTGAGCGCTCCTCGGCGGTGCTGGCTGGCTGGCGCCTAGAGCTCTGGTGCGGAAGCTGCGCGAGCTGCGGGGGCTCGGGTGGGCGATCCTGAGGAGGTCCGGGATATCTAGCCAGGATCTGGCCTCGGGCCCTGCCTGAGGAGGGGAGGGGCTCTGGAACTGGGGGCGAGTCGAGCGCCCGCCTCGGGCTGAGACTGGAGGGGTTTGAAGGAGGGGGCTCTGAGCCAGGTTCGAGGACCGACTCTTCCCTCAGCCTTCGTGTGACCTTGGATAAGTCTTTCTCTCCCCAAGCTTCTGCTACCACAACGATGAAATGGAGGCAGGACGGTCCGCTGAGAGTTGGTACACACAAGAGGTTCGGCAAAAAAAAAAAAAACCCAGCCTTCCTCTCTGCTCTCTTCCTCAGGACCTTGTTAGGGAAACGTGAATCGTGGGAGCACCTAAGAGTCTGAGTGACCTTGGGCGAGTCCCTTGTTTTGACGTTTCTCTACAGATGTGATGGACTAAGCAAATAGCCCTGTGCTATTTTGGTGTTACCAGTGCAGACAGAAACAAGGCAATGTCCCTCTCGCTACAAGTCTCTTTTAGGTTTGCGGTAGAGAGGCTGTCTTTTCAGAGGGTTGACTAGATCTCAGACCCAGTTCCCATTAATTCCTACAGCAGACTTCAGTTTGTTTTCCTCCCTTGGTAATTGGAGGAGTGATTCAGTGCAAGGGTTGGCACGCCACTCCGCTGAACAACAACCGGTATCTTCAAGGCCTAAAATTAAAGACCAATTTTAGGAAGCCTGACATTCTGGTTGTTTTGTTTGTGTTTCAATGGCAGGAAGGCAAGATGACTTCCCTGCTCCAAGACTGGAACAGCTGAAGAAACCACAAGACAAAATGAGAACTACAAAGGTCTACAAACTTGTCATCCACAAGAAGGGCTTTGGGGGCAGTGGTCAGTATTGATTGGTCTTTGGGGGTGTGTAAATTGGCTGACGTGATGTGCCCAATACAATACCTTACAAATTACGAATATCACTATTGAGGCTAGACAGATGAGTGAGTGAAGTCATAACAGCATCAGCAGAATGGTTGGATCTGCGAGCACAAGATCTCTTTGAAAAGCATTCACATTCGGATTTTGTTTGGTTGTATTTTGAATCTGGGTCTTACTGATTATCCCAGGCTCATCTGGAACTCACCTTGTAGCGCAAGCTGGCCTTGAACTCATTGTCCTCCGGTCTGTGTATCTGGAAATGCTCTACCACATCTGACTTGATTTCCCTTTCTGTTTCCCCCGCTTCTGTGCAGTGCCAGGAATTTAACCCAAGGCCTCATAGGTACTAGAAAAGATCTACCACAGGACTGTGTCCAAGCCCTCCCTAACGTTTACTTCAGATGCTAATTTACTTCAGAGATCAGAACTGCTGACAGGATGGGATAGTTTTGCTTTCGAGGCAGAGCCTTATAGCCCATGCTGGCTTTGAAATCAGTATGTACTGGAAGATGACCTTGACTTCCTGACCTTCCTTCCTCCATACCCAAGTGCTGGGGTCTCAGGCTTGTGCTCCTACCTGGTTTTATACCATTCTGGGCAAAGAACCCATGCATTGCGCATGCTAGCCAGCACTCTGCCAAGGAGCAACACCTCCAGCCCTCAATTTCATTTAAGATTTGTTTATTTATGCACATGTGTCCTTGCACCTGTGTGTATGTGGATGCTTTAAAAGCACGTGTGTGCGTCTATGAAAGATAGGTGCCGACTTTAGTATTTTGGTATTCTTCCTAAGGAGCCATTAGCTTTTTTTTTTTTTTAAATACGGGTCTCACTCTGTAACCCTGACTAGTTTATTGTGCTGATCCTGCTGCCCTTGAAGTGACCGAGATCCTTGATATCTCTGCCTACTAACGGCTGGGATTAAAGGCATTTGCCATCATGCCTGGCCACCTTGTATTTTTATTCACTCACTTACTTTTCTTCACCTTGTATTTTGAGACAGTTTTCTCTTTGGGACCTGGGGCCTGCCAATTAGGCTAGACTAGCTGGCCTGTGAAACTGGGTGATGACATGTGGACGCTCTGCCAGATACCTTGGATTCGTTATGTGTTGATTTGGAATTAATTCAGTCCTTGCATGTTTAGAAACCTTTAGTTGTCAAATTATTGCAATCCTCACATTTAGTCGTATCAATCCCATATGGGGTTGCAACATACTTTATGAAACTGGCCTAAACGTTTATGAAGAATAGATAGTTATAAGTAAGAGATGCCTTCAGCAGAGGAAACAACAAGAATACAATGTATATGGTAGGGATAATGTTTATAGGTCTGGTGTTTTTTTTTAACTTTTGGTGTGTGTATGTGTATGTGCGTACAAGACAGGTGTAGCTTGGTGATATACCTAGGAATACAAATAAAATTCTAACCAGTTTGCCTATCAAGCATAAAGATTGTAAATACGGCAAAATCTCTTGTCCCCCAAGTAGTTCTTAACTGTATGAAATGATTAGCTGTAGTGGCTCATGCCTGTGACACCGAACTTTCTGAGGTTGAGACAGGAGGATTGCTAAAAGTGTGAGGTCAACCTGCTGTGGAGTGAAGCTGACTGTTCCAAAGGAAATAAAGAGGAGCTAGATGTGGTGGCGTACGCTTTTAATCCCAGCACACAGGAGACAAAGGCCGTCAGATCTCTCTGTGAGTTTGAGGTCTATGTGGTGTGCTCTAGGCCAGCTCGAGCTACACAGTGAGACTGTCTCAAAACAAACAAAAACACAAACAAACAAAAAAGAAAGAAAAAAGGAGAGATGGAGAGAAGGAAGGAAGAGAGAAAAATGAAACAAACAAAAATGTGCTCAGGGAGCTTAATTTAGACAGTGGAAGTTCATCCATCATAGGGACTACACAGACATTGGACCTAAAACTGTTAATGGAACATTCCAAATAAGAACTGAGATCAATCCAATAAGACCTTTACTAGGCTGAACTTTTCAAGTATATTGAAAAGTCTACCTTCATTTTGGGGTGGATGGATTATTTATTTATTGGTTCTGAGGATTGGGATATGCTAAGCATTTACTCTATTGAGCTATGCCATTACCCCAAGCCCTATAGTTTAAAGATTGTTTTGAACCCCAATTGTACTAACATTTGAAGTCTAGACTATTTGACTCAAGTTTTATAACATGTAAGAGGTGTTGAGCCTAATTTAGACAGAAGGAACTCTGTGCTAGCAATGAACTCTGGCTGTACTTTTACTGGCTGTCTACCTTTAGACAAGTCAGTTTGTCTCCCAGGTTTTTCCTTGCTCTTGTTAGCTCTAAAGATTTATTGTGAGAGTTTAATTAAGACAGTGTTTTTAAGGGAATTCTTTGAATATTACATAAATATAAGGGTGCTATATTTGGGACCTAGGCTGTTTCCATCACGTGTATGCCAGATTCACAAGTATTTTAGAGAGTAAAATGATATTCGAGAGGTGTAATTCACTGAACCATGGGCTACTTTTTCAATGGGAGCAGTAAGATAGTAGACATGTCCTTGGAGATAGGTCCCTGAGCCCTGTCCAACTCAGCCATTTACCATGTGGCCCTAGATAAATTTGCAAAAAAATTTTTGACTTATTATTTTCTTCTGAGCTGAGGATGGAAACCAGGCTTTCAAGCATGCTAGGAAAGTACTTTACTTCTGAGTTACATCCCCAGACCTGTGCAAATCCTTTAGTTGTTCTAAAATTAGATTCAGGGGCTGGAGAGATGGCTCAGAGGTTAAGAGCACCAACTGCTCTTACAGAGGTCCTGAGTTCAATTCCCAGTACCCACATGGTGGCTTACAACCATCTGTAATGAGATCTGGCACTTGCTTCTATATACATAATAAATAAATAAATCTTAAAAAAATTAAAAATAAAATAAAATTAGATTCAAAATGGACACTCAGGGAAAAGGCAGAACACTTGCTTACCTATTTGTTAGCCTTAGGTTAAGTAACATCCTTAGCACCTTATAAAATAGGCAAACAAATGGGGGCTGGTGAGATGGCTCAGTGGGTAAGGACACCACTTGCTGCCAAATCCATTGACCTGAGTTCAATCCCTGGGCCCCATATGGTAAAGGGAAAGAACCGACATCTGCAGGTTGTCCTCTGACCTACATGCACACACACTTAAAAAACAAAAACAAAAACAAAAACAAAAACAAAAAATCCAAACTCCAGAAAGCAAAAACCCAAATGGAACCTCAATATAACAACAAAAATAAAAATAAATGTTGAGCATGGTGCAGCCTGCCCTGTGGTCCCAGCAGTCTGGAGATGGAGACAGGAAAGTGAAAGAGTTCAAAACCACCTTATATAATGAGTTTGATGCCATCCTGAGACACCTGTCAGTCAAAAGAGTAAAAATAGTGCCAGAGTTCTTCTTCGAGATCCAGTAGTAATACCAACATGATGGGGGTGCCCTGTGTTTTCTCTCTGGTGCTTTTATATTTTAGAGGGTATGTGCTAGAGATTCAACCCAGCACCTTAAGACATGCTAAGCCTATGGTCAACTACTAGGCCCATTTGCTTTTTAAAGTCACTGAATTGTCTTTCAGATGATGAGCTAGTTGTGAACCCTAAAGTGTTTCCTCACATCAAACTTGGAGACATTGTGGAGATTGCTCACCCCAATGATGAATACAGGTGAGCAATTCAAGGATTAAGGGAACTAGACACCCAGGTGTTTTCAAATACTATTTCAGGCTAGTTGGGGCTAAATTGTAAGATCCTATCTCAAAACAAAATAAAAAATGCTCTTGTTGCTTGATGGTGGTGGCATACACTTTTAATCCCAGCATTCGGAGGCAGAGGCAGGCAGATCTCTCTGAGTTCGAGGACAGGAACGGATGTTACCCAGAGAAATCCTGTCTTGAAAAAACAAAACCAAAAAGCTCATGTCTAGGGCTGAAGAAATGGCTCAGCAGTTAAGAACACTGGCTGCTTTTCTAGAGGACCTGAGTTTGATTCCAGTATGCGGCATGTTACACCCATCTGTAATTCCAGGCCCAGGGCATCTGATAACCTCTTCTGTGGCGCACAGACATACATGCAGGGTAAAACACTCATATACATACAAATTTTTTAAAAAATTTTTTTAAAAATTATGTTCAGGTGTGGTGGTACATGCCTTTAATTCCAGCACTCAGGAGGTAGAGGCAGGTGGATCTCTTGAGTTCATGGCCAGCCTGGTCTACAAAGTGAGCTCCAGGACAGCCAGGGCTACATAGACAAACCCTGTCTCAAAAAAATTTAAAAAAAAAAATTTTTTTTAAAATTATGTATATGTCTGTGAGTATGAGTGCTAGTGCCCTCAAAGGGAGATTCCCTGGATCTGGGGTTATAGACAGTTGTGAGCCACTTGAAGTGGGAGCTGGGAATCAAACTTGGATCCTCTGGAAGAGCAGCTAGTGCTCTCAACTGCAGAGCCATGTCTTCAGCCTCACCTACAGGTTTTTTGAAGTGGCCCATTTTTGTTTTTAAAGTTGAGGTAACTGGAAATTTTTGTTGCTTTTGTTCATTTCCTCTCAGGCCAAGTGTAGTGTCTTTTGTTCCTAAGAAAGTTTTCTCTGGTTGTGGCAGACGTTACAATGTGTACTACATTATTTGTTTGTTTTGATGGGAGGTGGAGAAAGCTTACCTCCTGCAGTCTTGCTCATCTTTGTTGCTTTCTTTTCCAGTCCTCTGCTTTTGCAAGTCAAGTCTCTTAAGGAAGATTTACAGAAAGGTAAATATTACCTCTCTCTTTGGGATTTTTATCTGAGAAACTGAGAAACCAAAGAAACCTCTCTTGGGAATCTCAGGAAATAAGTACCTATCAGATTGAGTTTCCTCTAGCAAAAAAGAAGACAGATAAAGCTTTTGGGGGTCAGTGACTACATTTGCAGACCCTGCCCCAGGAGCAATAGTTGGTATGTTTACTGTCTTCTTTTACCTTTATAGCTAATTAAGCTGTAACCTCCCCCAGACGCCAAGTCAGTTATGAAAATTGCCAAAGAATCTCGTTTTGTAGCATGTTGAAGGCATCGAAGATACTAAATTTAGAGACAGAGGAAAAGGTAATTTGAACATGGGAAGTTTTGCATTTTTTTATTTGATTTTTCGAGACAGGGTTTCTCTGTGTAGCTTTGGTGCCTGTCCTGGATCTCACTCTGTAGACCAGGTTGGCCTTGAACTCACAGAGATCCGCCTGGCTCCGCCTCCCGAGTGCTGAGATTAAAGGCATGCGCCACCACCAACGCCCAACGGGAAGTTTTGTATTTAACTCCCCAAAAAATTGCTGAATTTTCTTAAGTTTTTCAGAAAATATTTAAGTGTTTCACAAAATATTTAAGTGATGATTGTGTTGCTAGTGTTCTCTGTTTAGACTAGGTGTTTCTAGATTCTTCCTGTCGTATTTCAAAGAATCAAAGAGTTACATGCAAATTAAAAAGTAGCAAGGGCTTTTATTCAAAGAGAAAGTGAAGGTAGAGAGTAGATAAAGTTGCAAAAGCCTGAGCAAGCATGGGACTCCCAAGTACCTGGTTACTTCCCAGGGCTTGCTTTTGTGGAGCTAGAAGAGTCTGGGTAGTTTTCTGTCTTGAGTGTTAGGCTTGGGTTATGTAACTGCTCCTGTTTTTTGTATGATGCATCTGATTTTAATCATGTGTATCTGCTCGTACATAGGCATAGGGTGATAAATAGGGTATTTTCCCTAAAAGTTTACTCATAGAACAGTTTGCCCACTGTGCCTGTACTTTAGGGTACCAGACCCTGCCTCAAAAAAGGGGAGGGACTGAGGGATGTCGCTCATCTGTCAGTGTGCTCAATATACACTGAGCCCTGGGTTCCATCCAGTCTCTGGGACTGTATAAAACAGGTGCAATGGTGCAAGCCTTGAATCTCTATCTCAAAAGAAAAAAAAAAGCCATGTGTGGTGTCAAAGGCCTTTAATTCCAATACTCTAGAGGCAGAGAGGCAGTTTGATCTCTGTGAGTTTAAGACCAGCCTGGTCTACAAAATGGTTTCCAGGACAGCTAGGGTTGTTACACAGAGAAACCCTGTCTCAAAAAACAAAACAAAACAAAACAAAACAAAAAAACAAAAAAAACCAAACCAAACAAAAAACATTTGCAAATAAATAAGAATATCGCACACTAAAATTAAACAGATCCAAAATCTGTATAACTCAGTGAACTTCTATACAATTAGAATAGGCATTTGGAAGGGAAGCTGGGAAATGTCGCATTAAATTTTGCATGTTTATTACCAAATATAATTTATGTACTTAGCCATCACTAAAACAAAATTTGGCCAAACTAAACCTAGGAAAACAAGTAGCTTCCTATCCTCTTTCATAACCGTGTCTACTACCTGCATCCAGTCCTTCCTCAGCCCCTGGTATTCAGCCTTTCTCTCTTACTTCCTGGTTTATATACATACGTACACATTCCTAAATACTAATCCAACCTGCTGTGTCTTTATAATGTTACCTGTGTGTACATGATCTCGGATGAACACTTGGTGTTAGATAAGCTAATGGGACCCTGTGGAAGACCATTTCTCCTGCTCTTAGTATTCCACAGTTGCCTGTTGTTTTTTGTCTATGGTTGAGATCCTGCAAACTTTCCCCCTTCCATATTAGCATGTTCATTGGTGTGTCATTGTTCAGGTCTTGTTTAGGCATCCATGTTGATGAAACATCATAGGGGAGCCTTTCTGACATTTCTAGGACAAACAATGCTGTCCTAGCTAACTTGCTGTTCTCCTGGCTCTTACAATCTTTCTGATCACTTCTCCACAATGATGCCAGAGCCTTAGGTGCAGGAATTGTGATGTAGATGTATAAGTTGGGACTGGGCACCACACAGCCTCTTGTTCTCTGCATTTTGATCAGTTGTGGGTTTCTGTAATGGTCTCTTTATCTGAAGGCATAGTAAGACCCTGTCTTAAAGAAAAAGTTTCTTCCTACATTTACTTATGTAAGCATGTGTGTGGACACACATATCGGGCAGGATGAATGTGTAGAAGTCAGAAGACAACTTCAGGGGATCAATTTTCTCATTCCACCATATGGGTCCCAAGGATTGAACTCAGGTTGTCAGGTTTGGTAGCAAATGACTTTACCACCAAACCACTTTGCCAGCTCAAATAATGGGTCTTAGGACATGTGTATGTATATATACACACATACACACATACATACATACACACACACACATATAATGTATCTCTATCAGATATATTCCTTATTACCCTCTCTTGTCTCTCACATCTGATAATCTGGTCCTCTTCCAGAGTAGCTCCCCTGCTTTCAGGGCTCTGTGTGTGACCCAATGAGTTTTATTGGGATTTGTTTACAGGAGCATAGGGAGGATTTGTGTACAGGAGCATAGGTACCTTACCATGGCTACACCCCTGGGAAAGATGTGTTTTCTCCCTTCATCAGCCATTAACGGTGTATAAATCTGCAGAGATGGCTGGGGCCTCATGAGCTCCTCCTTTCATGACAGGGTGTTGACAGGCCTGGTCTTGTGTAGGTAATCATAGCTACCGTGAGTTATATGGTGAAATTGTCACGTCATATCATATCCAGAAGTTAGCATCCCACACTGTTCTTCCCACTTCTCTGGCTCTTAAATTCTTTCTGCTTCTTCTTCTGTGTGGCATGTTCCCCTAGCCTTGTGGCTAGGCATGTAGCAATCATTTATTCTCAGTACTTTGACCAGTTATGAATCTCTGCAGTCATTGTTGACCAATGCAGAAAGAAGCTCCTCTGGTCAAAGCTGATAGCAACACTAATCTGTGGACATACACGTAGTTATTCAGCCAGTTTCAATGCTGTGTGCCTTTAATTCCAACAGAGACAGGTAGAGCCTTGTGAGTTGAGACCAGCCTGTACTACAGAGTGAAGTTCTAAGGCAGTTTAGGACTACATAGTGAGACTCTGCCCTCAAAATCAAAATAATAATAACTAAAATAAAATAAAATAAAAACATAGTAATTTAGAAAGCAGTTTGAGTCTGTGGCCTTACTACAAATGTACTCTCTCATCAGATCTTAGCAGCTAAACAGGATTAGGCCCCGGTTAGTACTTGGATGAAAGAAGTCAGTTTGAAAGACACATTGTATTCATTTAGTAAAACTACAGCAATAGCTTCCACACTGCTGCCTATGAGCTCCTTAACCACAGGCTTTTGCCCGGGTTTACAGTAGCAGAAATGAATTCCCTCCTACTGTATTGTGTCAGATTGGCTCCCTAACTGACTTCTACTGTTGCACCATTAGACTCCTCCTACCTGGCTGGTTCGTGTTGTTGCATATAGGATCCATAGCTGAGTGTGACAGTTGGTGATACCTTCCACCACCTTGAGGGCTAGTTAGCAAGGAGAAAGCTTCCAGCTCAGTTCTAGCTGGATTTCTCTCTGTTCCTTGACCAAGGCCAGAGGTACCCTCAAAAGTAAGGTCTTATTATCATCTAGTTTTGGGGAACAACCAACAGCAGTGACAATTGTTTGTGTTGTTTTGAGAATCTGTAGAGTCTTCCATGACTTTATAGTCTTTATAGGGAGGTAGCTCCTTCTGCCACTGGGATTTGAACTTTTCTTATGTTGTTCCTCCCACGCCCACCCAGGGCTCTAAACAAGTTCTGTGCATTGAGTTATATTCCCAGCCTCTAGATACTACTTTTTTTTTTTCTTTTTCTTTTCCTTTTTTGAGATAGGGTCTCTCTAAGTAACCCTGGCTGTTCTTGAGTTTGCTATGTAGACTAGGCTGAGATCTACCTGTCTGCCTCCCCAGGTGCTGGGATTAAAGGCATGTACCACCACACCTGGCTCAGATTTTTTTTTTAAATGCTTTTCATTTTTAAAATTTTTTTTTGTTTTTAGTGATAAGGTCTCATAATCCAGGCTGAACTTGCTGTGTAGTTAGGATGAGTTTGAATTTCTGGTCCCCCATCCTCCCCCTCCAGAGTGCTGGAGTCAAAGGCACTTACTACTCCTCATTTTTCCTCCTGTACCCCAGGCTGGCCTCAAACTCACTGTGTAATCCAGGCTGGTTTTCAACTCCAAACAACCCTCATGTCTCAGTGTCCCAAGCACTAAATCTCTCTGTGTGTATGTGTGTTATATGTGTTGGTGGTGTGTGTACATGTACGTGTGCTTACCCATGCCTGCACATACACAGACTAGAGGTTGATGTTAGGTATCTTCTCTCTCCACCTTAATTTTTTTTTTTTTTTTGACAGTGTTTTTTGTTTGGTTTGTTTTTGAGACAGGGTCTCACTGTCTGACATTTGCTATTCTGGAACTCACTATGTAAAACAGGCTAGCCTTGAACACAGAGATCCTCCTGAGTTCTGGGATTGCAGGCATACACCACCATGCCTGGCAAGACAGAGTCTTTTGATGAGCCCAGAGCTCTCTGTTTTGACTAGGCCAACTGGCCGCAAGTCCAGGGATCACTTGTTTCTGAACTCCGTTGCTCACGTGCAGGTGTGTGCTGCCGTACTTGGATTTTACGCTGGTGCTGGAGATCAGGATTCGGGGTCTGATGCTCTTGGAGCAAGCACATTACTGACAATCACCTCTGTAGTCCCCAAGCGCAGGGTCTTAAATGTTTGCCTCTTTCTCCCTTATCTCTTCTCATTTCTGCACTCTGTTCTCTCTCGTTTTCTTCCTTCTTCCATCCACTAGCATCCTCAGGGACTCTTACGTGCTGAGCATATTTTCAGCCACTCATCTTTCTCTTCTAACTTTGAGATTGATTTATGTTACTTTGTGTATGGATGTGCTGCCTGTATGCATGCATGTGTACGATGTGTGCCTGTTGGATGCCTGAAACTGGGGCTACCAATGGTTGTGAGCTACCATAGCATGCTGGGAACCCAACCCAGGTCCACTGCAAGAGTAACAGTTTCTCTTAACTGCAGAGCCATCTCTCCAGCTCCAGCTCTCTCTTTTGAGGCAAGGGCTGGTTAAGTAGCCTAAGTCAGGCTTTTCAGTCCTCCTGCATCAGTCTCCAAATGCTAGAATTACAGGGGGAAGCCATGACACCAGGTGCTGTTCATCCTGTAAGTGTTAGTTCTTCTGCTTATTTGACTTGTAGAGTAGAGAACTATTTAAGATTTAATCTCCTGGAAGGCAGAGGCCATAGCAAATGATCAAAATGTGTTAACTGAACTGATTTTTTTTTTTTTTTAAATTCAGAAACTATCAGTGTGGACCAGACTGTGACTCAAGTATTCCGGCTAAGACCTTATCAAGATGTCTATGTGAATGTTGTAGACCCCAAGGCAAGTCTTTGTTGTGGGTTAGCACCTATCCTCAAAGGTTAGATCACTATGGAAATGAGGTTCTTAAGTGTAGTGCTATATTGTTAAGTGGTCATACCTAGGTCATTTAAATATAAATGGTATGTAGGCTGCATTTAAGTCCTCACTTTTTAAAGCTTGTCTTAGTTCATATAAAAGGATGTATTTATGATTTGCTATTTAATTACTAATATTTTTATATATTCTATCCATTCTTTTTCTTTTTTAAATTGTTTTATTATTTTAAAAAATATTTTTTATCTTTATTGTATCTATTTGAGTGGTTGCCTGCATATATGTCTGTGTTCCATGTGTGTGCCTGGTGCCCAGAGAGGCCAGAAGAGGATGTTGGATTCTCCTGAAAATGGAGTTACAGATGTGAGCCACCATGTGGGTGCTGGGAGTTGAACCCGGGTCTTCTGGAAAAGCAGTCAGTGCTCTTACCACTGAGCCATCTCTCCAGCCCCTCATATTTATTTTCTTTAAATGATTTATTATTTCTTAGGCAGAGTCTGCTGTTTAGCTCAGCTGGCATGGGACTTATATAGCCCAGGCTAGCCTAGAACTGGCAGCAGTCCTCCCTCAGCTTCCTGGGATTAGAAGGTACATCACTGTACCTGGCTTTCCATTTGTTTCTCTCTTTTTGAGACTGGATCTCACAACGTAGCCCTGGCTGTCCTGGAATTCACAATGTAGACTAGGCTGGCCTTGAACTCACAGAGATCTGTCTGCCTCTGCCTCCATAGTGCTGGGATTAAAGGCATTCACCACCACATCCAGATTAGAATTTTTCTTTATTAGTTGATGATTAATAGGCAAAAATAATTGTTCATAGGGCATTATGTGCATTCTATTGTGATATAAAGCAGATAGCTCAATGGTATCTTTCAAGACTAAAACAGAAAGGCATGGTTGCATGTATCTGTAGTTTCAGCTACCTATGCCAGGGCAGAGAGGATTGCTGGAGCTCCGAATGTGAGGGCAGCCTGGACAACAAAGCAATAATACCCTTTGTCAGACATCTGAAGGACTGAAGCACAGCAGAGGGCCCTCTGGGGCTCCTTTGTCATGGGATAGCTGCCATAGCATGTGCTGTAGAATTGCTGAGGGCACCGTAGAGTTGCCTTTGCTGTGGAGAATTCTGTCAGGTTCTGCTGTTGAGTGGTCTTCCAAAGGTTTTCTTTTTTTCACTCATTTTCATGGTGTGTGGACATCGTATCTTGACTATAAAGAGTGGTAAAAAAATACAGAAGTGTGATTCTCCTCTTTCAGGATGTGACTCTTGACCTTGTGGAATTGACTTTTAAGGATCAGTACATTGGCCGTGGGGATATGTGGCGACTAAAGAAAAGTTTGGTAAGATATGATTATTTTAATGACGCAGTATATTGTCTGTGACACGAATTGTCCTTGTTCATCATATAAATTCAGAACCATCCAAATAACTTCTGATTCTAGCATCCACAAGTAGTTACTGTAAATATTTGGCTATATCCTTTCCTATTTTTTGTTTATTTATTTTATTTATTTTTATGTGTATGACTATGGCATGTTTACATTTATACTCTGTGCATGCTTAGTACTGTCACCATCCAGAAGAGGATATTGGATCCTCTAGAATAGGAGTTACAGACTAAGATGCCATGTGAGTGCTGGGAACCAAACCTGGGTCCTCTGTAAGAGCAACAAGTGCTGAGCCATCTGGCAACCCCATCCCCACTCCTCATCCCATTTTTGACAAGGGTCTCAGTATGTGGACTTGGCTGGCCTGGAGCATGCTGTGTCAACCAGGCTAGCCTGAACTCCCAGAGATACACATCTGCCTCTGCCCCCTGAGTGTTAGGATTAAAGGCATGTACCATCAGACCCACCTATTTATTTATTTTTAATGAATCTTTTCCATGTAAAATGCCCACTTCATCAGAATTATGACCCTGTACTGAAAACTCTTTGGTTTTGCATATTATGAAGGCACAAGTTATATGAAGAATTTCTACACAAAATATATTTTCTGGGGAGAAAAAAAAAATCAAACAACCAAAACCTTAATGGGCTGGGAACATAGTTCAGTGATAGAGCCTTTGCCCGGTATAAGTGAGGTACTAGGTTCAATTCCCAGCACCAAAATAAGAATAAATAAATGAATGAAAATTAAGTTTTTGTTTTTTGTTTTTTTTTAATTGGGTGAAAGAGGTTTCTGTTTCTTTGAGCTCTCTCAGTGGTAGAGCACTCACCTTGAAGCCCTAGGTTTGACCTCTGGCACTGAAAAAAAAAACTTAGAAGTGGAAAGATAATTTGTACTACATTTAGTATATGAATGTAGAGACCTGTGTAAACATTTGTGAAGCTCAATGTATTTCTCAGGCTGCACTTAACCGTCTGCCTGTCTTCACTAATTGTACTTGCTCAAGTCTCAAGCTCCAGCTGTACAGCCCTGGACTTCGATGTTGGAGGAGATTGACCAGGCTGGCCTGGAACTCACAGAGATCCACCTGCCTCTGCCTCCCATGTGCTAGGATTAAAGGTGTGAGCACCATGTCCAGCCTTTCGTTGTTGTTGTTGGGGGAGGAGATTTTAAAGCCAGGAGCTCTTGTGTGTGACTGTCCAGGGCCTGATGGGTTGAGTCCTTTTGTTTTCTCCTTCCCTTAGGTAAGCACTTGTGCCTATATCACTCAGAAAGTGGAATTTGCTGGCATCAGGTAGGTATCGTGGCATTCTGGACTTACTGGATGGGAAGTGGAAGTAGAGTTTAATGCAGGAAGTCAGCTGAATAAGATATTTGAGGCATGTGGATCTCCATACAGTAAAGTGCTCAGGAGTTTCAAATGCTAGACTGCTGTGATATGAGTGAAAAGGTACCAAAGTACCTGACGGCAGTTTTAGGATTGTTTTATGAGTTTGCTTTTTGTAATTTTGGGATCTAGTCTCATGTAGCCAGGATGGCCTCAGTTTTACTGTGTTGCCCTGACTTTTCCAATGCTAGATGACAGGTGCATGCCCCCATACTTGGCTGCTTTCAGAATTACCGTAAGAGGTGGCAGAAGCTACTGTCACAAGAGGTGCGAGTTACATATTTTAGAACTGGAACTATTTTATATGAACATGTTATCACACATTCTGAGGGTCTCCGTTCTCTAAAGGCCCCAGTTTTCTAGACCTGTATGTTTTCTGTGGACTTCTGATGTGCGTATTCAGGACACCAGAAGCTGTTTATAGTAGATAACCTGCTCATGGAGCTCTCTTTGGAAAGGTATAACGGATCAGGTCATTTGAGTACAAGTGAACTAGATGACAGACACCGGAGGCTAGCTTGGACTCCATAACAAGACTAGTTCAGAAGACAGACAGCATGTGAGCGAGCCACCTGAAGAGAGCAATAATAATAATTTGTATGTCTATCTCCTTTCAGGGCGCAAGCTGGTGAGCTGTGGGTCAAGAATGAGAAGGTCATGTGTGGTTATATCAGTGAAGAGACCAGGGTAAGATTTACAAAGTGACTTTTTGGTTTTGTTTCCTTATACTGTATGTATGTCTGAGTACTGAATTCAAAGCAAAGAAATAAGCAAAAATCTTATGATTGGTACCATCTGCCCAGCTAGAACTGGTCCTCTATTGCTCCTGTATTTTATAGTTGGATCTTGGCAAGTTGGAATTGATCTTCATTTTCTTCTTCCAAATGAGTCTATTAAATATATTAAGTACAGGACTGGTTGCGGTGGCTCTTGCTTATAATCCCAGCACTGAGAAGGCTGAGGCAGGAGGATTATTGTGAGTTACAAGCCATTATGGGCTATATAATCAGTTCCAGTCTGGGCTACAGAATAAGACATGCTGAAGTTCTCTGGCACTGTTCCTACTCAAGTGTTTCATTCAAATTCAATGAAAATTTTCCAATTGTAAGAATTTATAATCTGAAGCCGGGCGGTGGTGGCGCACGCCTTTAATCCCAGCACTCGGGAGGCAGAGCCAGGCGGATCTCTGTGAGTTCGAGGCCAGCCTGGGCTACCAAGTGAGTTCCAGGAAAGGCGCAAAGCTACACAGAGAAACCCTGTCTCGAAAAACCAAAAAAAAAAAAAAAAAAAAAAAAGAATTTATAATCTGGTACAATAGGCATATTCCTATATTCCAAACTACTTAAATTGAGGAGAAGCTGGACGTGGTGGCACATGCCTTTAATTCCACACAGACAGACAGATCTCTGAGTCCAGTCAGTCCAGCCCCATCTAGAGAGCTAGTTCTAGGACAGCCAGGGCTATACAGGGAGACTCTAATCTTGAAAAACCAGAATGAAGAAGAGGAAGCTGAGGAGAGAGAGGACGCCTTGGTCAAAAATAGGATAATCTGGCCGGGCGGTGGTGGCGCACGCCTTTAATCCCAGCACTCGGGAGGCAGAGCCAGGCGGATCTCTGTGAGTTCGAGGCCAGCCTGGGCTACCAAGTGAGTTCCAGGACAGGCACAAAGCTACACAGAGAAACCCTGTCTCGAAAAACCAAAAAAAAAAATAGGATAATCTGATTATAAGAACAACAACATAAATTTTTTTAAGTCAGGGGCTATTGATTTGTAGTCCAGATTTGTCTTGAACTCTCAATCCTGTATCCACCTTGGGAGTGTTGAAATTATAGTTGTTACTACCATCCTAGCTTGGAGAACAAGATATCTGTGTATGAAAAGGAATTAGCACTATTGAGTTGGGGATGAACCTTAGTGGTAGAGTGTTGCCTAGTGGGACAAGATCCTGGATTCAATCCCTAGTACCAAAAGGAAAGAAAAGAAATTAGTATTATGAAATTTACTAGCTGGGGAATTGGCTCATTGGGTAGAAGCATTTGCTGTGTGTGCCTGATGATAGGAGTTCAGGTCCTGAAAACCCATGTGAAAGCCATATGCCGCAGTGCGAGCATCAGTATCCTTGTATGCTCCTACAGGGGAGGTGGGAGGTGGAGAGGAGAATCTTCAGAAGCTCCCAGGCCAGTTCACCTGACTTATGTATCACTGAAGAGACCCTACCTCAGCATGGAACAATGAGGACTGTATTCAAAGATTGGCCTCTGACCTCCTCCTGAGTGCCAGTGTGTGTGCCTGCACCCATTTAAACTTGACTACACTCATACTCTCCTCCTTACCCACCTCTCTCTCTCTCTCTCTCTTTCTCTGTCTCTGTCTCATACACACACACACACACACACACACACACACACACACACACACACACAATTTAAGTTTAAGGCTTTCTTACCTTACATACTTGATATATGTTTGTATTTTGTTCATTTCATTCTTTTAGTGCCGGAATCAAACCCATGGTAGCTTATTAGTCACACCACCAACCAGTCCTCTTACTTTAGGTAACTTCATAACTAGATCATTTGCCTGTTTTTCCATCTCATAAAATGTTGTAAGTGGTAAATTTGTTTTTTAATTTAATTAAAAAATGTTTTTTGTTGTCGCCGGGCGGTGGTGGCGCACGCCTTTAATCCCAGCACTCGGGAGGCAGAGCCAGGCGGATCTCTGTGAGTTCGAGGCCAGCCTGGGCTACCAAGTGAGTTCCAGGAAAGGCGCAAAGCTACACAGAGAAACCCTGTCTCGAAAAACCAAAAAAAAAAACAAAAAAAAATGTTTTTTGTTGTGTTTTATTTTTTGTTTTTCAAGGCAGGGTTTCTCTGTGTAGTCCTGGCTGTCCTGGAACTTGCTATGTAGACTAGGCTGGCTTCAAACCCTGAGATCTGCCTGCCTGTACCTCCCAAGTGCTGGGATTAAAGGTATGTGCCACCATGCGTGGTATGTAAGTGGTAAAGTTTTAAAGGGAAACCTGACATGGTGATGCACTTTTGTTGTTGTATTTTGAGACAGGGTCCCACTACCTAGCTCTGGCTGGCCTGTGACTTACTAGGTAGGCCAGGTTGGCCTTGAACTCACAGAGACATGCCTGCCTCTGCTTCCTGAGTGTTGGGATTAAAGGTGAGCACCTGGCTAGTGCACAATTTTAGTCTGAAAATTTGGGAGATGAAGGCAGAAGAATCAGTAGTTGAAGAACTGACCTACTTCTATCTTTAGAAGGAATCTTTTATTTTTATCTTTTGTTTATTTGCTATGCTGGTGAAAGCTTAGAGACTTGCACATGCTAAGAAAATGTTCACCACTCTGTGCGTTCGAGGCCAGCCTGATCTACAGGAGTGAGATCCAGGACAGGCACCAAAACTGCACAGAGAAACCCTGTCTCAAAAAAAACCAAAAAAAAAAAAAAAAAAATGTCTATAGTCCACTGAACTATATCTCTAACCCCAAAAGATATCTTTTTTAAAAGTTTCTGTAATAAAACTATGAATGTTTTTTCTTCCTTCCATAAAATATGTCATGATTTTAAAAATGGAAGCCAGGTATAATGGCACACACCTGTAATCTGAGCACTGGCGAAGAATTGAGCAGGATTACAGATTTAAGACTGGGCTTGGGGCTGGAGAGATGGCTCAGAGGTTAAGAGCACTGACTGCTCTTCCAGAGGTCCTGAGTTCAATTCCCAGCAACCACATGGTGGCTTACAACCATCTGTAATGAGAGCTGGCACCTTCTTCTGTATACATAATAAATAAATAAATCTTTAAAAAAAAAAAAAAAGACTGGGCTTGAATTACCGAGGCAACATAGTGAGTTCATATCTGCAGAAAAGTTACCAGGTCTGGCTGTGTAGCTCAGAGGTCTCACACTTGTTTGGCATACCTGAAGTCCTAGGTTGGATTCCCAATGCTGCTAAAAAGGAGCTGGACTTGGTGATACCTGCAAGTTGAGCACTCAAGAGACTGAGAAAGGAAGATAGCAGTATCCAGATTAGTCTGGGCCTATTAGATTAGCTCAGATTAGTCTGAGACCCTGTCTCATTAACAAAGCAGAACAAACAGGGCTGTGGCACTGACCCATTGGGTAACAGCACTTCCTGTGCCAACCTGAGAATCTGAGTTCAAATCCCTAGCACCCATGTTTTTTTTGGTTGTTGTTATTATTTTTTTTAAAGTTGTGCATGATCACGCATGCTTTTTTTTTTTTTTTTTTTTTTGTTTGTTTGTTTTTCGAGACAGGGTTTCCCTGTGTAGCTTTGCGCCTTTCTTGGAACTCACTTGGTAGCCCAGGCTGGCCTCGAACTCACAGAGATCCGCCTGGCTCTGCCTCCCGAGTGCTGGGATTAAAGGCGTGCGCCACCACCGCCCGGCCTATCACACATGCTTTTAACTGGAGCAGTATTGGGAGGGGAGAGCTAAGATGTAGTGGAGCTTGCTGGCCGACAACTAGGCTCCAAGTTTAACGATAGACCCTGTCTTAAGGGACTGAGGTAGACAGTGACAGAGCAGGACACTGACTTCCTCCTTTGGCCTCTCTGTACACTTATGACACACACACACACACACACACACACACACACACACACACCACTCACACTCATTCTTACAGTCACACACACACCAGACTTACCATGTACAAAATCCTTTATACTGGTATTTAGAAATCACCAGATGAGCAAAGCTAACACTTTCAAAAGCATATTTTTTTCTAGACTTTATGTTTCTGTATATTAGAAAAGGAGAATGGCTGGGCAGTGGTAGTGCACGCCTTTAATGCCAGCACTTGGGAGGCAGAAGCAGGCAGATCTCTGTGAGTTTGAGGCCAGACTGGTTTACAGAATGAATTCCAGGACAGCCAAGGCTACACAGAGAAACCCTGTCTCGAAAAACAAAACAAAACAAAAAACAAAAAAACAAAACAAAACAAAAAAAAAGAAAGGAGAATGAATTTATCAGTACTTGCTATGTCTCAACAGCTATAGGAAGCCTCCAGAGTGAATAGTCTTTAAGGAGTAAGTCTAATGGACTAAAAAATATGAATACTAAAAATGATAAGAGATTCTCATTCTGCTTTTTCACCAAACTTCTTCAGCAATAGAAGAGAATGACTGAATAGCATTAGTAATAAAGTACATATAGCCAAAATAACCACTTTTGCTTAGGGCAATCTGGCAAATGAGATATATGATACCAGTTATAATTTATTAACCTCTGCTGGGCGGTGGTGGTGCACACCTTTAATCCCAGCACTCAGGGAGGCAAAGGCAGGTAGGTCTCTGAGTTCAAGGCCAACCTGGTCTACAGAGTGAGTTCCAAGACAGCCAGGACTACACAGAGAAACCCTGTCTTGAAAAACCAAAAAGAAAAAAAAAAAAAAAAAGAAAGAAAAGGAAAAAAAAGTTGGCAAGTCTTGGTTAAAGTTCTGTCAGGTTTCTGTGACTTTCATGGGTACAGGTGCTGCCCTTTCTACTATAATTCTTGCGTGAATCTTCATGAAACATTTGTAGGTATTACAGTACCTTGCAGGTCTTTCTCCAAGTGCTATAAAACTCCAAGAGGTCGGGAACCAGATCTTGCTACCTATGATACAAAGCTCAGAGTAAGATTTCAGAAACGTCTTTGTTTTTATAGATTTTTTTTTTTTTTTTTTTTTCGTTTTTCGAGACAGGGTTTCTCTGTGTAGCTTTGCGCCTTTCCTGGAACTCGCTTTGGATAGATTATTTTTTATTTGTTGTGTATGAGTGTTTTGCTTGCCGCATAGATATGTGTATACCATGTATATGCCCGGTGCCCATGGAGTCCGGAAGAGGTCATTGCATCCCCTAGAACCGGAGTTAAAGATAGTTATGAGCCCTGATGTGGGTGCTGAGAACTTGATCTGGGTCATCTACATGAGCATCAAATGCTCTTAACTACTGAGCCATTTCTCCAGCCCCCAATTTTGGTTTTTTGAAGTAGAGTTTCATGTAGCTCATGCTGGCTATGTACCCAGGGATCACCTTTGATTCCCAATCCTCCTGTCTCCACATTCCAAGTATTTGGATTGTAAGCACATGCCACCACACTCAGTCTTACCTAGTATTGGATAGTGGAACTTCATGAATGCTAGCCAGGCATTTTACCAACTGGGCTTTCTATCAAGTAAGTGAAAGAACACATGGGTAAAGCTTGCTTTTAGAAGTACCACTTCATAGTTAAGAGAATTCCTTCATCATTTAAAAAATTATTTTAGTTAAAATTACAAAATTTACTCTGAGTAAATGTTTTGTTTGATTTTTGACATAGGATTTTGCAATTTATAAGCCCATGTTGGCTTTGAACTGACTGTATTCTTGCCTCACTTTCCTGAGTTACAGAATTACAGGCATGAACCACCACATCAGAGTCTGCTCTATTATTATTTTTGTTAAAATTTTATATAATGTATTTTGTTGTGTTTCAAGATAGGGTTTCTCTGTGTAGCCCTGGCTGTCCTGGAACTCACTCTGTAGACCAGGCTGGCCTCCAGCTCACAGAGATCCGCCTGCCTCTGCCTCCTAAGTGCTAGGATTAAAGGTGTGTGCCACCACTGCCGAGTTATATAATATATTTTGATCAATGAAAAAATCAATAAGACAAAAAAATGCCAAAGTAAAACTAAACAAAAAGCATCCACAAAAAACATGGAATTTGTTTTGTGTTGGTCAGCTACTACTGGGTGTGTCCTGTGTGGTTGATCTACCCAGTGATATTCCAGTGGAGAAAATTGATTTTCCCTTTGCCAGCAGCTATCAGTTTCAAGGAGCTTGTTGGTTAGGGGCAGGACCCTGTGTCCACTTTGACCTGTCAGTGCTGGGATCCTGTCTAGCTTGAGCCTATGTAGACCTTTTACAGGTCGTATGTGTCCTGCCACAATCTCTGTGAGTTCATATGTGCATTGGTCATGTTATATCTTTTTTTTTTTTTTTCCAGAGCTGAGGACCGAACCCAGGACCTTGTGCTTGCTAGGCAAGGGCCCTACCACTGAGCTAAATTCCCAACCCCATGTTATATCTTAAAGACACTATTTCCTTGGAGTCATCCACCACCTCTGACTCTTACAATCTTTCCACTTCCTCCAAATAGATCCTGAGCTCTAAGGGGAGGGGGTTGATGAAGACATCCCTTTTAAGACTGCTCCAAAGTCTCTCACTCTGCACATTGTCTAGTTGTAGGTCTCTGTTAATTCCTATCTACTGCAAGAAGAAGCATCTCTGATGAGGGTTGGTGAAGCTATTAACTATGGATATAGCAGTGTGTCATCAAGAGTCATTTTATTCCCATGTTCCTTTAGTAGAATAATAATAGGTTTTTCCATAGACCCATGACGCATCTAGTCGCAGGTTCTTGGCCACTTTAGCAGTGTCAGGTATGGGTTCTGTCTCATAGAGTGGGCCTTAAATAAAAAAACAAAACAAAAAAGCCCGCCCCCCAACAGTGGTTGGTTATTCCTGTAATATTGTGCCACTATTGCACTAGTGTATTTTGTATACAGGTTGCTCTTAAAGGTTACAGGGCTTGTGGATGTTAGCTTTTAAGCTTTCAATATGTGTGCATTTTGTTTGTTTGTTTGTTTGTTTTTCAAGACGAGGTTTCTCTGTGTAACAGCTCTGACTGTCCTGGAACTCACTCTGTAGACCAGGCTGATCTCAAACTCAGAGATCCACTTGCCTCTGCCTCCCAAGTGCTGGGATTAAAGGTGTGCACCACCACCTCCTGGCATGTGCACTATTCTTAAGTGTATAATTAAGTATGTTGGGCTGGTGAGATGGCTTAGTAAGTAAAGGTGCTTATCACCAAGCCTGATAACCTGAGTTTGAGTCCCTGGGACCCACATAGTGGATTACATGTATTACTATTACATGTAATTACATATAATTACATGTAATACTATTGTGACAGACTTTGAGACCCTATTCATCCTGTAGAACTGAAATTGTATACAAATCATTTGCTTTTTAATGCAACTATGTTTTTATTTGTTACAGGTGGTGTTCCGTTCTACGTCGGCTATGGTTTACATATTTATTCAGATGAGCTGTGAAATGTGGGATTTTGATATTTATGGTACTGTCCCCTAAGTACTGATTGTAACTGCCACTGGAGAAAATTTTCTGGTTTTCCCCAAGTTTATATCATTTTATAGTAAGCACTTGATACTCTCTAAAGATGTGTCCTGCTTCCTTGCCAAGCCTCTTCAGTTCTCTCTCTTACTATTAGTTTTTCATTCTTCTTTTTGTGACTGTTTTTTGAGATAAGATATCATACAGGTGAGGATGGCCTTGAACTTCCCATTCTCCTATTTCTGTCTCCTAAGTGCTGTGATTAAAGGCATTCATCTCTATGCCCATTTTACACTGTGCTGGAGATCGACCCCTGGGCTCTGTGCATGCTAAGCAAGCACTGTACCAAACAGAGATACAGGTCAGGGGTGGTGCACACCTTTAATCCCAGCACTCAGGAGGCATGTTGATTTCTGTGAGTTCAAGGCCAGCCTGGTCTACATAGCATATTCCTGTCAGAGCTACATAGTGAGACTCTGTGTATAGCCAAGGGTGATCTTGAACTGATTCTCCTGCCTCTACCTCCCCAGTATTTTTAGACATTTTCGTTTATTATTTATATTTTGTGAGTGTGTTCACGCATGCCCACATGCCCATATGAAGGTCAGAGGACAACTTTACAGAGAGTCTGTTTTTTCTTGATTTTATGGATTCCAGGGTTCAAGCTCTGCTGTCAGGCTTGAGCAGCAAATGCTTTTACCCATGAGCCCACCTTGCTAGTTCCTCTATTCTATTTCTATAGACTGCATGGATACATGGAGAGACAGATGCAGAAGCAGAACGTGAATTCCAGGAAATGCAGTAGATTATTAATGAAAAACCTGAATTCTCAGATCTTAAATTCTCTGCTTTCTGTCCTTTCACAGGCTCTTGCTCTATAACCCAGATTATTCTCAAATTCATAATCTTCCTGCCCCAGCCTCCTGTGTGCAGGCATGTACTGTTACCCTCAACCTGATGTCTTTCATTTAGTTTCCTCTCAATCACAGAAAAAACAAGTTTGCTTCAGCTTTATTGTATTTTATTATGATATCATGAGCAGAGGGCCTACTAAATCATTTTTGAACTTCCATTGCTGAGAGAGAGAGAGAGTGTATGTGTGTGCGTTCATACAACTCAGGAGTCAGTTTTCTTCCTCCTGTGGTGGTTCTGGGGAATCAAACACAGGTCACTAGGTTTGTCAGCAAGCACCCTTACCCATTGAGCCACCCCCCCTTATCTCCTAATACACTTTAAGCATGACCATAAAAGTAATCATATTTGGAGTTTAGGTGGTTCTCTTACGTTGAATAGATACCACATTAACCAGTCATCTACCTTTTTAAAAATTTGGGTTTTACTTTGAAGCTGAGGCTTTGTAATTATGAGATTGGACTGTACTTTCTGTGCTAAGGAAGCACTGAACCTCCATAATTAATTTGACTTGATAAAGTTGAGGATGTAGCCCAGTGGTGGAGTTTTGTCTAGTTTGTCTAGGGTATGCAAGTAGCCTCTCTTTTTTTTCACTTTGTACTTTCTTTTCTTCCTTCCTTGCTTCCTTCCTTCCTTTCTTTTCCTCCCTCCCTTCTCTCCCTCCTTCCCTCCCTCCCTCTCTCTTTCTTTCTTTTCTTTTTTTTCTTTCAAGACAGGGTCTCAATATGTAGCCCTGGGGCTGAAATTTGCTTTGTAGACCAGATTGGATTTGAACTCATAGAGATCCTCCTGCCTCTGCCTCTAGTGCCAAAACTAAAGGTATGCGCCACCACATCTTCTGACTTTGTACTCTATGTTTACTGTCTCTTACAAGAATTATAGCAGATTCCATTGTTTTCTATTGGGTCCAATTCCTTGAATGTATTTAGAAGAGACATTTCAAGCAAGAAAAGAAAAGAAAAGAAAAAAGGTGGTTCTTACTCTCTTCTCGCCGTTTCTTTTCAGGGGATCTGTATTTTGAGAAAGCTGTGAATGGTTTCCTTGCTGATCTGTTTACTAAGTGGAAGGTATGTTTCTATATTCTAGTCTTCTAAGTAAATATCACTCAGTAGATTTTTTAATTTTTCAGGGTGTTTTGTTTTATTTTATTTCTCCAGACAGGATTTCTCTGTGTCGCCCTGGCTGTTCTGGAACTCACTTTCTAGACGAGGCTGGCCTCGAAATCACAGAGATCCACCTGCCTCTGCCTCTTGAGTGCTGGGATTAAAGGCGTGCACCACCACTGCCCGACAATTTTTCAGTTATTAATAATTTTAATTATTTTAGTTTTTGAGACAGAGTTCTCATGTAGCCAAGGCTGACTCCCTGTGTAGCCCGTGGTAACCCTGAGCTTTCTGATCTCCTGTCTTTATTTAACAAGTACTGGGACTATAGGCATGCTCTTCTTTTTTTTTTTTTTTTTTTTTTAATATTTTGTGTCTCAACCTTGGGTGGTGTTCCTCAGGTGTTATCTACCTTGTTTTTGGATCTTATGTTTGTTTTTGTTTTTTGAGGCAGAATTTCTTTTTGTAGCCCTGGCAGTCCTGAAACTCACTCTGTAGTCCAGGCTGGCCTTGAACTCGCAGAGATCCACCTACCTCTGCCTCCTGAGTGGTGCTGGGATTAAAGGAGTGTGCAACCACTGCCCAGCGTTTTTGGGATCTTCTTAAGAATGCTAGGTTGGGGGAGGGGTGTGGGAGGGGGGAGAACAAGGGAATCCGTGGTTGATATGTAGAATTAAATTATATTGTAAAATAAAATAAAATTAAATTAAAAAAAAAAAAAGAATGCTAGGTTGGCTGACCAGGGAGCACCTGTCTCAGCTGCCCCAGCATTGGGGTTACAATCATGTGCTGCTACACCTGTTTTTTTTTTTTTTTTTTTTTTTTTTTTTCCTTAGAAAGGGCCTTATTATTTAGCTCTGGCTAGCCTGAAATCCACTATGTAGACCCGACTGGTTTTGCACTCACAGAGATCTGCCTTCTACCTACTGAGTGCTAGGATTAAATTCGTGTGCCACTGTGACCTTTTAATGTAGATTGAATTCAGGTCCTCATGCTTATGTGGCAAGCACTTTACAAATTGAGTTTTCTCCTAGCCCCTGAATGTGGGTTTCTAAATGCAATTTTTCTATTAATTTGCCTGCTCTTCAACTACTTTAGCTGAAATGTGGACTTGAGATTTAAATTATGTTAATCACCTCAACATGATGAACAGCATCCATGAAAACACAGGACTAGCTTCACAGATCACACTCAGTGGGGAAAGACTGAAAACTGTCCTAAGATCAGCACTAGGAACGCTTCCTTTGCCGCTGTAGACACCCACACATAAATAAAAGTAAAAAAAATTAAGAAAAAAGAAAATAGAGTAGAAGACTAGAGACATGGCTAAGTGGTTGAAAGTACTGGCTGCTCTTCCAGAAGCCCTGAATTTGGGTCTCAGCACCTATGGGGGCTTACAATTGTCTGTAATTCCAGTCCCGGGGAAGCTGGGTCGAGGGCATGTGAAGTCCAATAACTAGTCTGTAGTCTGCTTTTCTCCACCAGTGTTCTTTCTGTATTTTGACTTGTACTCAGAAATTTTTCTTTCTTTCTTTCTTTCTTTCTTTCTTTCTTTCTTTCTTTCTTTCTTTCTTTCTTTCTTCCTTCCTTCCTTCCTTCCTTCCTTTCTTTCTTTCTCTCTTTCTTTTTCTCTTTCTCTCTTTCTCCTTTCTTTCTTCTTCTTCTTCTTCTTCTTTTTTTTTTTTTTTTTCCCAAGACAGGGTTTCTCTGTGTAACAGTCCTGGCTATTCTGGAACTCACATTGTAGATCAGACTGGCCTTGAACTCACTGAGATGCACCTGTCCCTGCTTTCCAAGCGCTACAATTAAAGGCATGTGCCACCACTACCACTTGCTCTTTTTTTTTTTTAAGATTTATTTATTCATATATTTTACATATACACCAAAAAAGGAATATGATCACATTACAGATGGTTGTGGCCTACCATGTGGTTGCTGGGAATTGAACTCAGAACCTCTGGAAGAGCAGTCAAGTGCTCTTTACTGCTGAGCCATCTTTCCAGCCCTGTACTCAGAAATTTTTATCCACTTGCAATATAACTATGAAAGAATGTAAGGTGACATGTGGTACATTAAGTTGTATTCTTTTATGTCAAATGCTAAATTGTGTTAGTATGGTTAGGAGAGAGATGAGGTTGAGCCTGGCAGGAACTGAAACAAGCTTGTTGGCTCAGTAAACAAGCTACATTTCATATCCTCCATTAAGCACCCTGTTCCCAGAATTTTTTTTTTTGTTTGTTTTTGAGACAGGGTTTCTCTGTGTGGCTTTGGAGCCTTTCCTGGAACTCATTTTGTAGCCCAGGCTGGCCTCGAACTCACAGAGATCCTCCTGCCTCTGCCTTCCGAGTACTGGGATTAAAGGCGTGCGCCACCACTGCCCGGCGTGTTCCCAGAATTTTGATCTCAAGACTTCATGGAAATGTTTATTCTTATTAGCTCCCATCTGCATTTAAAAGGTAATTCATGATTTTGACTTATATCCCTTCCTTTCCCAAAAGCTTCTGGGCCTCATCTTGTGATATATAAGAATATCTTTGGTTCTTAAAACCACCACTGCGGGCACCGTTCTTTTTCCTTAAACTGCAGTTCTAATAAATTAAAAATGCATAGAGATACAATCAAGTTCTAACACTCAGTTGGTAATGTTTATGTCAAATCAAGAATTGGGTGACAGGGGCCCTTTCTTAGTTGTAGCTTTCCAAGGATTTTTGCACATCCTTGGAACTTTAAGTAACCTACCTAAGAAATCACACAGTGGTAAGCTTAAGAGCCAGAATTAAAAACAAATCTTTTGACAGGAAGTGTTCTGTCCCCTTCACAGTGCTCCCTACTGTTATGAATTACTGTGTGGGGGACCCCCCGAGGGTATTTCCGAATGCAGGGAAACATGCTGGGCAGATGCAGCGGCAGACTGGGCATGGTGGTGGCAGTGACCAGTAATTCACAACCCAGACACTGCTTCCATGTGGAGAGTTTATTATAATAGAGAGATGAAGAGAACGATGGGAAAGAGAGAGACAGAGAGAACGAGAGAAAGAGAGAGAGAGAGGTGTAGAGAGAGAGGTCAAGGGTGCACACTTTGTGGGAGGAAAAATCAGAAGAGAGAGAGAGAAGAAGGGGAGGAATTTTTAGTTAGAATGAGGCTTTTACCTCAGGACACAGGGCCGCGCCAAGGGGTGGGATTTCAAGGGACGGATCAGAATATTAACATTCCTCCATTTTGATTATTATAAAAAGAGGTGAGTTATGGTAGCAAATGGGGGGGAACAAGCTTGCTGAATTCTCAAGGCTACTTCAGGCTGACAAGGGGTGAAGTGGGGAGAGGGGAACTGGGAGTCATGCACAGCGGAAGATCTAAGTAACGTTCCTTGAGGGAGCTGAGGAGACAGGTTGCAGCAGTGATGTTCCAGGAGCTGGGGGGGGGGGGGGGAAATGGAATGCCAAATCAGGAGTACAGAAGTCATGGCATCTGCTATTTCTCTGGAGGTCAGGCGGGAACAATGAATCTTGACTTTGCAGTATGGGGCGGGGGACCATAGGCACATTTTTCCATAATGAGGTATAAGGCCTAGTGGGCTGGCCTCTGGAGTCCCAGAGGGTCAGCCAGGGCCAATGATAATGGCGCAAGGTCATCACAAAGGCTGTTTATTGGCCGTGGAATTGAGAGGGCACAGGCCATCTCCATATGCCATCCTATAGGAATGGGTGCTGAAGGGCTATGAGCCCAAAAGACACGTGGTACTAGCAAGTGAAATGAGATGAATCTGACCTCCAGCGTCCTGGAGAGTCAGCAAGGACTAATGAACAGCGCAGGATAGCCAATTGACTGTTGTAACAAAGGCTATGGGCCGTGGAATTGAATGGGCACAAGCTGTCTCCATACGCTGTCATATAGGCTCCGGGTCGAGAGCCTTAGAACCCAAAAGACACATGGTACTAGTGAGCAAAACAAGACAAATCCTCACTTGTGGGAAAATGGCCGGAAGAGAAGGGAGGTATCTTACCGATCCTGTAGGATGAATAGTCCCCAGTGGTGCTCCAGCCTGAAAAATGGTGGGTGGTGGAGGATCCCGGAGCTTCTCAGACTACCAGCAGGCAGGAGAAAGCAGTGGGATTGCCTGGCGACGTTGGGCACCAATGTTATGAATTAGTGTGTGTGTGTGTGTGTCTGTCTGTCTGTGTCGGGGGACCCGAAGGTATACTGCACATGCAGGGAAACATGCTGGGCAGATGCAGTGGTGAGCTGGGCTGATGCACGCCATGTGGTCATGGCAGAGTAATTCACAACCCAGACACTGCATCCGGGTGTGTTTGTTTGTTTAGTTTTGGTTTTTCGAGACAGTTTCTCTGTGTAGTTTTTTTGCCTGTCCTGGATCTCACTCTGTAGACCAGGCTGGCCTCGCACTCACAGAGATCAGCCTGGCTCTGCCTCCTGAGTGCTGGGATTAAAGGTGTGCGCCACCACTGCCCAGCTTGGAGTGTTTATTATAATAGAGAGATGAAGAGAAAGGAAAGAGAGAGAGAGAGGTCAAGGGTGTGCACCTTGTAGAAGGAAAAGCAGAAGAGAGAGGAAGGAGAGGAGTTTTTCCTTAGAATGAAGTTTTTACGGCAGGACTCGGGTGGCGCTGAGGGGTGGGATTTCAAGGGGTGGGTGATCACAGTATTAACACACGAAGCTCTCTAACACTGTGCACAGCCACTGAGCCTCTTAGGATTGCATATATCCATGGGTTGCTTCATAGTGAAGTAAATGAAATAAACTTGTACCTACTTTTTCTATGTTCATGCCTAGGAGAAGAACTGTAGTCATGAAGTGACTGTGGTCCTATTTTCCAGAACTTTTTATGATGCAAAATCTATTGGTGAGTAAATTTTCTTATATATATATATATATATATATATATATATATATATATATATATTTTTTTTTTTTTTTTTGAGAATTTAAAAAATTTTGATATTTTTTCATACAGTATATTCTGATTACACTTTAAAATTTTTACTTGTAATTATTTACAAATAAAAGTAAGACAGGGTCCTGCTATATTCCAACTGCTCTGGGACTCACTGTGTAACCAGGCTAGCCTGGAGCTCACAGAGATCTTCCTGCATCTGCCTCCCAAGTACTGGGAGGTGTGCACTGTTAAGCCCAGCTAAATTTTTAATTTTTGATAGACAGGGTCTTTTTTGACATTTTTTTCAGGCAGGCCCTGAACTCCTGGCTCCTGGCTTCAAGCAAACTCTTGCCTGAGGCTCCTAAGTAGCCGAGGAGTGCCAGCCCACACCACTATACCCAGCTTCTTTTGGTTTTCTCTGTTGGGTCCCTTACCTTCATCTCCAGCAGTTCATTTTCTTCTTCTTTGCTTTTGCACCGTTTGTCTTTCCCATCTTTGCTAGGGGGGCCCAAGTAAAATGGAAAATACTGCATCTTAATGTGTGTAAGATGGCTGGGCTGGGACACCACCTAGAACCCACATAACAGATACACAGTTAGCTTTACTTATTTATTTATTTACTTACTGGTTTGTTTTTTAGACAAAGTCTCATTATGTAGCTCTGGCTGTCCTGGAACTCACTGTTTAGTCAGGCTGTCCTCGAACTCAGATCTGCCTGCTTCTGCCTCCCGAGTGTTGAGATTAAAGGCATGTGCCACCACACCTGGCTTCTTTTTGTGTGATACAGGTGGATCTTCAACTCAAAAGAGAAATTCAACAACACTGTAAAAATCTCTTTCCAGCCGGGCGGTGGTGGCGCACGCCTTTAATCCCAGCACTCGGGAGGCAGAGGCAGGCGGATCTCTGTGAGTTCGAGGCCAGCCTGGTCTCCAAAGCGAGTTCCAGGAAAAGCGCAAAGCTACACAGAGAAACCCTGTCTTGAAAAAACCAAAAAAAAAAAAAAAAAAAAAAAAAAAACTCTTTCCAATATGATCTGTTTACTGAATTTTCTGTATTTCAGATGAATTTCCTGAAATAAACCGAGCTTCAATTCAACAAGATCACAAAGGGAGATTCTATGAGGACTTTTACAAGTATGTTTTGGTGCTTTGCTGTGTCTTTATTTGTTGGTTGTTTCTTCCTAACTTAAAAAACTTTTTTTTTGATTTCACCAATTTTCCATTCTTGTACTTTTTAAATTATAGGATATAGGATACTACATTGTGTTCAGAATTTTTGTTTTTGCTGTTTTGAACAGTCTCACTATTCAGCTTTGGTTAGTTGGAACTCACTGTATAGACCAGGCTAGATTTGAACTTATAGCATTCCTTGTTTCTGCCTACAAGGTGCTGGGGTTATTGGTGTGAACCATCACAGCTTCCAGATTTTTTTTTTTATTGCAAAATATGTTAGCCTTCAAAAGTAATACTAAGTGAGTAGGTAATATAAGAACCCTGGATGTCCAGTGTCTGAATTTGTAGCTAATATCTTGCCGTGTGTTTGCTTTCTCTACTTTTGGCTGGATTTTACTTTAAATTATAACTCTTATAATATTTTATACCTATGCAAAATAAGATCATTTTATATAAAACCATAATGTCATTTAACAAAATTAGCAGTGACTGATATTATCCAGTTATCTGGTGCATTTCAGAGTTCCTTAATTAAATGCTAAAATAACTATCTGTGGCCGAGGTGGTGGTGGCAACCTTTAATCCTAGCACTTAAGAGGTAGAGGGAGGTGGATCTCTCTGAGTTTGAGGCCAGCTTGGCCTATAGAGTGAGTTCTAGGACAGCCCAGATTACATATAAACTTAGTTGGGGAAAAAAAAATAGTGATGATGATGATGATGATGATGTAAAAAATAAAAATAAGGGGGAAGATGCTTGAGGAACATACCTGACCTTGATTTTTAGCCTCTCCAGGAGCATGTTCAGAAACTGCATGCACAGTTGTGAACACAACACACACACGCATCACACACAGAATGATACTTCAGAACAGAATAGGATCATAAAAGCCTCTGTGTACCCACCATTCAACCCAACAGACAAAAGCCACCAACCAAGCATGAGAACCTGAGTCTGGGTTCCCAGCACTGATGGAAAAGCTCCACATGCACATGTGTGTGTTCGTGTGCATGTGGAGTCCAGAAGTTGACACGGGGTGTCTTCCTTGATTTCTTTCCACCTTATTCTTTGAGACAGGGTCTTTCATTGAACTTGGAGCTTGCCGAATGGGCTAGACTGGCTGGCTATTATAATAAACACTCCAAGCCAGTGAGCTCAGGGACTCACCTGTCTGTTGTTCCTCAACACTGGGGTTACAGATAGACACAGCCATTGTCTGGCTTTTCCATCAGTGCTGGGAACCCAGACTCAGGTTCTCATGCTTGGTTGGTGGCTTTTGTCTGTTGGGTTGAATGGTGGGTACACAGAGGCTTTATTATCCTATTCTGTAGTATCATTCTGTGTGTGATGCGTGTGTGTGTTGTGTTCACATCTGTGCATGCATATATATAAAAACTCCCACATACATAGTTTGTTGCTGTTATTTGTTTTTTCGAGACAGGGTTTCTCTGTGTATCCCTGACTGTCCTGGAACTCACACTGTAGATCAGGTTGGACTAGAACTCACAGAGATCCACCTGCCTCTACCTCTCAAGTGCTAGGATTAAAGGCATGTGCCAATCATGGCTGGCTTTTATTTTATTTTTAAGATTATAAATACCTATTTTATGTGCCTTTGTGTTTTGCTTTCATGTCTGTCTGTGTGAGAGTGTCAGATCCCCTGGAACTGGAGTTGCAGACAGTTGTGAGCTGCTATATGGGTGCTGGGAATTGAACCTGGGTCCTCTGGAAGAGCAGCCAGTGCTCTTAACCACTGAGCCATCTCTTCAGCCCTAATTTACTGATGTATTTATGGTGTGTATGCATGTACTCAAGGGAACACTGCTTGTCAGAGGACAGCTTGTGAGTGTCTGTTCTCTCTTTCTACCTTGTGGTTCCCTGAGATGAACTCTCATATCAGGATCTGTGGGCATGTGCCTTTAACCTGATGAGCCATCTTTGTTTATTTGTTTTTTGTTTTGAGACAGGGTCTTTCTCTGTAGCCCTGGCTGGCCTGGAATTCCCTATATAGACCAGGCTAGTCCAGAACTCACAGAGCTTCTTCTGCCTCTGCCTCCAGAGTGCTAAGATCATAACTTTGTGACACCACACCTAGCTTGTTGTTTTATTTTTGATCAAATACCCTGGCTTGTCTGAAACTCACTATGTTCACCAGCCTAGCCTTGAACTTGTGGGTCTACCTTAGTCCTCAGTCCTTGAATTGTAGACATGTTCATCCCTTCATCCCCTGCTTATTACTTCTTATGAATCACATTTTCCTCCTTCCTTGAAACTTTGTAATGAACCTGATAACATGTATGTAGTAGGTGCTTGATTTCTCTTTCATGACAATATTCCTTTCAGAGTGGTGGCTCAGAATGAGAGAAGGGAAGAATGGACATCGCTCCTTGTGACGATTAAAAAACTCTTCATTCAGTATCCAGTGTTGGTGCGACTGGAACAGGCAGGTACTGCATCCGTGTGTGTCACAGGTGCTGTGGGGAAGTGACGTGTGGAATGGAGGCTCCATTCCTTTGTATTGCTGTAGATAGTTCCTGCTTCCGGTCAGGTCTTTATTTTCTGTTGGATCCAGTTGTTCCTTGCATATGCTGCCAGTTCCTACAATGTCCCTAACACAGTGTGAGGGGGATAGAACGGAGCCAGATGTCTTCCTGGTTTTTCTTTTTTCTTTTTTGCGTTTTTTTTGGTGGGTGGGGTCTATAGACATGGTTTCTCTGTGTAGCCCTGGCTGTCCTAGAATTTGCTCTGTAGACCAGGAGGCCTGGAACTCAGATATCCACTCACCTCTGCCTCCTGAGTCCTGGGATTAAAGGCATGCCCCATACCCACTCCCCAACCTGGCTCCTTCCTGTTAGTTTTTAAGAGTTCATCTTTGATGAAATGTTTTTCCTTGCCTTGTATCTTTTGCTTCAGGGGGCTTTCCTCAAGGAGACAATTCTACCTCAGCACAAGGAAACTACCTAGAGGCCATCAACTTGTCTTTCAATGGTGAGTGAGAACACGGTAAGCCAACCTCTTGCTTCCCATGTGGCCATAGGCAGCTCATTGCTGATGTCCAAAGCCCCAGACCTGGAAGTCTTCTTCCCATCTACACTTCAAATTAACTCAAAGTAGTGCATTCAAATTGGATGGTCGTATTGACTGCTCTTTGGCTCATGGGCCTTCTGTTGGGGAATCAGCTTAGTTTTCTTATTTGCCTCTTGTGGTAAGGAGCTGGCAGGACTCCTGCCTGGCTGCTTGTTTTACTCCAAACTATGTTTTTAATTTCTCACATTGCCCCTCAGCTGATTTTAGGTACATTTTTTTTATTTTAGGTTCTGCTTTTTAAAAGAAAACACATATATTCCTTGAGTGTGGCGCCTGAGGTAGAAAAATCATAAGCATGAGGGATATAGAGAAAGTGAGCTATTAGAGAGACCCTGTCTATCAAAAACAAAAAACAGGGTCAATGAAATGGTTTAGTGGGTAAAGGTGCCTGACACCAAGTTGAGGACCTGATTTGGTCCCTGAGATCTTAGAACAAGACAAACAACCCTGCAAATTGTCCTCTGACCTCTACAGGCAGACAGTGGCGCACACACACACTAAAAATGTAATAAAAAATTAAAAACAAAACCACAAAAAGTACTGTATTCTTAGAATTCAAGTGGAGAAGGGTATGCTAAGTAAAAACAAGGTACCTACCATCAGGCAGGCCTCTTGTAAAAAGAGCCAGTTACTGTGGTGGTGATTTTTTCCCTAAGGCTTGTAGAAATGATGGAAAGATTCAGGCAGCCCTTTTCAGGGAAGGTGGAGACCTTGGTGGCTCTGAGAAACACAGCAGTAGGAATTCCTGGAGCCATATTCCATCCCCAGTGACCCTGTCTCTGCTCTTTGTGGACTTCTACTTTGCAGTGGGAAAACTGTGATAGGTCCAGCTCCAGGTAGCCATTGACTGGCAGCGGAAGTGCTGGTGTTTGCACTTCACCCTATCGCTGTCCCATCAGTCTGTATCCAGGTTCTAGGGAATTCTAGAATACAGAATTACTGCTCTTTTTATCATATTCGAATTTTAAGGATTTTTCATAGCAATGATTAATTCAGGCATAACAATTAGTTAAATTTATAAGTCTTGAAAGGCTCTTGATCTATTTTCATAAATGTTGTCTTAAATTGATATTTGAGGGCTGGTAAGATGACTCAGTGGACAAAGGTGCTTGTCTCTCACCCTTATGACCTCAGTTCAGTCCCTTGGACTACACATGGTGGAAAGAGAGCAAACTCCCACAAGCTGCCCTCTGACTTCTACATGTGCACTGTGGCACTTAAGTGTACACACAATAATAAATATGAAGTACCATACTTGATTCTTGGAGTTTTCAGTATAGACTCTTTGATGGATGATGTAAGTTTTTGACATAAAAATTGAGCACTTAAGGCTGTATGGACAGCTATTGGGTACCAGTGAGGGTGATTTATAAAGAGTGAAGTGAATGTCTTGTTTCAAGACATTGCTAAAGCAGAAGGGAAAGGCAAACGTGTATGACTTGGTAAAATTCGGTCAGAATGAGCCAGTTGGTATAATTGGAATGTGTTCGGAGTGCTCTGAAAGCAGAGATGCTTGCCTGTGGCTGGTTTCTGAAAAGCTGTGACATCATCATAGGGGGGATTTTTGTTTTCTTTAAAGTGTTTGACAAGCACTACATCAACCGCAACTTTGACCGAACTGGGCAGATGTCTGTGGTGATCACGCCTGGGGTGGGTGTCTTTGAAGTGGATCGTCTACTCATGATCTTGACCAAGCAGCGTATGATTGATAACGGTAACAGTCCTTGGTTTCCAATGTCTCCCTTGTCCTAGAACTATGGAGTTTTCATTGTCGTCTTAGGTTATGAAGGGCTTTGCAAGGTGATCAGGGATGTCACTAAAATTGAGTAGTGGAGACCTTGCTTCTGTTTTTATAGATCTTCTGGGTAATCAGTGTCCAACCTAAAGCACATTAGAGGAAACAGAAAATGCATGTGTTTCTTTCCTGTGTAGGTAGCAATGATGAGTTTATAAACTGCAGCACAGCAAGTCAGCTTTGCCTCATCCCACGCTCAGTAATATTGGACCGGACTACTTACCTCTGCTGTTGTCCTCCTGACCTGCCTTTCTCTGTCCTTCCCTTTTTAGGAATTGGTGTGGACTTAGTGTGCATGGGAGAGCAGCCTTTACATGCTGTGCCATTATTCAAGGTAATAGAATTTAGATTTCCTTCTGAAAGACCAGGTGAAGAATAATTCAAAGTAGAAAAATTGGAGCAGTTCATAGCCAGCTTGTTTTCTAGCTTATCTGTGCTCTGGCTTTTTTCCTTGCAGCTGCACAACCGGAGTGTTCCGAGGGATTCTCGGCTGGGCGATGATTATAATATTCCTCACTGGATAAACCACAGGTGAGTGTCATCGAAAGTGGAAGATGAATGTTTTGAATGGTTTCCTTGGTATTGGCTCTTTACATTGGTTGTTTTGTTTGTTTTGAGATGGTCTCTCTGTGTAGCCTGGCCTCAAACTCATGGCAGACCTGCCTCAGCCTCCTGAATGCTAGGATCATATTGTGAGCCACCCCAACCTGCCTTATTTACTTATTTATTTATTTCTTGGCTAGTTGGTTGTAGTGGGAGTTGTGTACCAAGGGCTTGTTTTGTTTTGTTTTGTTTATTGTTGTTGTTGTTGTTGCTTTAATACTTACTTTTATTTCTGTGTATGCAATATGCCATTTGTATATGGGCGCACACAAAGGCCAGACAAAAGTGTTGGATCATCTGGAGCTAGAGTTACAAGTAGTTGAGACCTGCCTGGTGTGGGTGCTGGGAACCAAACTCAAGTCCTCTTAACCATTGAACTCTCTCTCCAGCCTGCACCTAGAGCTTTGTGTATAGTAGGCAATTGCTCTGCATATCTCTGTCCTAGGCCTGAGAATCACGTCTTTAAACCATTATTTTCTTCTTTCTTTTTATTTTTCATTTTATTCCTGAGTAACAAGATAGTTTTTATATTCTTTTTTTTTTTTTTTTTTTTTTTTTTTTGGTTTTTCGAGACAGGGTTTCTCTGTGCAGCTTTGCGCCTTTCCTGGGACTCACTTGGTAGCCCAGGCTGGCCTCGAACTCACAAAGATCCGCCTGGCTCTGCCTCCCGAGTGCAGTTTTTATATTCTTAGTTTGAGTCTCAGAAGTAAAGAAGGTATTAGTGTTCTTCTCTGCCATCACAGGAAAGGCGTGATATGCCAGAGTTCTTGGGATATGGAGACATGGTCTTTAACCCACTGCTCTATACGTGTTTGATCCGATTCTTCAAGAGAGCTTGACAATGCCTAGTGTAGTTGGCTCCTGCAGCCTCCTCTCCTGCCGCTGTTCCCTTTCTTGCTGTGGGTGGCAGACACTCTCAACTTACCTCAGGTTGGGCCTTTTTTTTTTTTTTTTTTTTAAGATAGAGGGCCTCTGCCTGTCTGCTTTTCTTTCAAGGCCCAGCTCCAATCCCTCTCCTCTACTCCTTCTCAAAGGCCAGTAGATAATTTTTCTTTGGTGCTTTCTATTCTTTGTGTTGTTTGTCATGGGCTGGGCTCCGTGAGGGGCAGACTGCTTGGCTTATGGCTGTAGTTCAATAGAACCTTCTATAGCATATTTTTTAAAAATGTATTATTATACTGATTTGTTTATTTTTCTGTGTGCATGTGTATATGTCTGCTCATTCCATGGCACACTTGTGGAGGTCAGAGAACAATTTGTAAGGTTTGGTTTTCTCCTTCCTCCCACCATGTAGTTCCTGGGGATCCAACCCAGATCATCAGGCTTGTTGCCAAGCACCTTTACCTAACACTGAGCAATCTTGCTGGTCCTGGCTTCTACAGTATTCAAGCTGCAAATATACACCAGAGCTCAGCTTGGAAACTTATTACAAATACAGATGTTAGCCTTGTGTATGTGTCTTTTATCTTTGTCACAAGCTGTGTTCCTACTGGTACAGGGATTGTTGCTGGTCACCTATATTCATAAGTGAAGAACTAGAAATCAGCAAGGATTGCTTGTTTAGCCATCTCTGTAAGGATAATGTGGTTCCATTGCAATTATCCTGTTCAATGAATGTCCTTTACTTCTCTCAGAACTCATGGTTTTTATGAAAATTATAAGCCAGGCAGTGGTGGTACACACCTTTAATCCCAGTATAGGAGGCAGAGACAGGCAGATCTCTGTGAGTTCAAGGCCAGCCTGGTCTACAGAGTGAGTTCCAGGACTGTTACACAGAGAAACCCTGTCTCAAAAAAAAAAAAGCAAGAAAAATTGTGCTTTTTTTTTTTTTGAGACAAGGTCTTGCTGTGTAGCCAAGCTAGTCTCAAACTGTTGGTAGTTCTGCCTCAGCAATGTTAATATTAAAGCTCTGAGCCATCACGTCCAGCACAGATATCATACTTCAAAACAAAACAAAACAAAACAAAAAAACTTTATTTATCTGGGTCTTTTGCCTGCGTGTATGTGCTCTACATGCTTGCCTTGTGTCCCCAGAAGTCAGAAAAGAGCATTGGGTCCCCTGAAACTAGAGTTACAGATTGTGAGCCATCATGTGGGAACTGGGAATCAAACCTGGGTTCTTTGGAAAAGTAGCCAATACTGTTAATCCCTGAGCCATTTGCCCAGCCCCTGTTTTTGGCTCGGAGGGGAAAAAGAAAAATAGAAAGCAGAAAGAGGTTGAATCAGTGTAGTAGCATTGGGAAAATGGACAAAGAGATTCAGCAGATCCCTGAACTGTGTTTTCAAAGTCTTGCAGTGAGATCAGAATTTAAATAGAGGACCAAGGATATACACATCTAAGCAGTGCTAGTCAAGGTGTGGTTCTGCCCACCACTGACCCGCCATCATCTGGGCTTTCATCTCATCCTGGAAGCTGGTTTGACAGATTGTCACAACTGTTGGAAATTTCTTTCCAGAGGACCAGTCCCACACTGGTTGGCAGCCTTTCCTTCTCCATCATGAAATTTTTGGAGAATTCTCATTTCTTTAAGGTGTATTGTTTCCAGAGTCTCATAGACTGAGAGATGCAAGTGTCTCTTTAGAATATCTTCATTTCTGCCAGCCCAGTTACAACAGCAACTTACAACCTTCAGCTGCTGAGCCATCTCGCTGACCCCTGCGTTTGTAACTCTTCAGTACACATTTAAATACACTCATCAGTTAAAAATCACCATTAATTTACCATATCTCATGGTTTTGAGTTTAGTTCAGGAAATGTAAAAAGTAACTATAGAATATATAGAAATACATGAATTCCAATTAAAGTTCTGCATTTTTCTCAAATTTTACTTTATAGTAACTTAGAAGATTCCCAAATTACCACTTTATTTTTTCATCCTACATTGGTTTTCTGGTGCCATTATGATGCAAGATGGAACCATATGTGAAGGACTTTTAAATCTGAGAATTTGGAGGGAATGAGACCTGTTTTTCACATTTCATTATGAGCCTTGCTAATAAAAACTTGAAACCCCAATGAAGATTATGATATAAGATTGCTTGTGACCCTGAAAAATAGCAATTTCATGATTCAACTTCATAGAAATCCATTTTTTCTGTCTCACATTACTTTATAACTCATCTCTGTGGTGTGTTTGCATGTGTGTATGTTTGTGTTAGTGCACATGTGTCAATGTGAACACAATAATAGTCTCAGAATACCCAAAATGTGTCACTCTTGCATTAAGAAAAAGAAATTTAAAAGCACTTCCACTTGGTGTAATTTGACCAAGATTGAGCCCAGATTTGAATTCTCTACTTCTTTCCCTGTGTCTTTTGTATTTTTCTCTTGGTCTGTTGTGTGAGCCTGAATCTGTGCCTGCCTGAATGCTGTCTTGTGAATCTCATTGTGTATGTGTTTCTTTGTGTCCCTAACAAAGGCCTTTTCTTTCCCTTTTATTGAACAGCACAGAACACATCACATGGAGAAGGAATGAGGGATTACTTTATAGAAATCTTAACAGAATTTTATAAGGGAAGATTTGTTAACCTAAAACAAAGCCAGGCATAGGCGAGCGAGCTGATCTTACTTGAGATTGCAGTTTGTCTTAAGGTTTAGAGTAAAGAAGCCAGGCGTAGTCGAGCACACCATTAATTCCTGCACTTAGGAGGCAGAGGTAGGCAGATCTGAGTTTGAGGACAGCCAGAGCTACACAGAGAAACTGTGTCGTGAAACACCCCCCCGCCCAAATGTGTTACTATAGAGATGCCTCAGCAGTTAAGAATATTGGTTGCTCTTCCGGAGGACCTGGGTTCAGTTCTCAGCACCTACACAGCAACTCAACAACTGTATATAACTCCAGTTTCAGTGGATCCAACACCCTCTCACAGACATATATATGGGCCCCAAATTCACATAAAAATAAATAAATTATACATCAATGACTTTTTTTTTTTTTTTTTTTTTAACAGTTTCTACACATCCAAAAGCCAGCTCTTTTGTAACAGTTTCACTCCCCGGATAAAACTGGCAGGAAAGAAGGTATGTTCCCCAGTTTGAACAACTCTCAGGGGCTACTACACACAGCGGTGCATTTATTCTGATCTTGAAGTACTGTCACCTTCCTTTGCCTGTGTCTGGCAGGGTCGTAAATAGAATTTAAACATTTTTGTGTTGAGACTTCATGGAGAAGCTGGGGCTGGCGCCTAGTGTAGGCACTTTCCTAAGCATGCACAGGGTCCCCGATTCAGTCCCCAGCGGGAAGGAAGTGGTGTCCATGTCCCACCTGGATAAGCTTGTGAGAATAAGATACAAGGTGGAAATGAAAGACTTAGCAGGACTTGACACTGTGGTAGGCAGGTGTCGAGTGTTAGCACCCAGTTTTCATAAGTTACTAGATAACTAGGACATGGTCTTTGCCCTGGGGAGCAGTACATAACATACTGTGTTGTGTTAAGTTTGGTTCTGTCAGAGGAATGATAAAATATCTATTTAATTTTTCAGCCTGCTTCTGAGAAAACCAAAAATGGCCGTGATACATGTGAGTATTTTTGAGATGCTTTTTCATCACTTTTAGAAACAGCTAATTCATGGCAGGAAAATAATGGGAAGTATCATAAGAAGGTTTATATAAAGGTCAATACACCCACACTCCTGTGTCACCTTTGGAAGGGTCCTTAGCCACTTTGTAGTTGTACCTTGTTGGCTGCAGCGAATGGGTCAGGTGGAAAGTAGTAAAGCACTGAGGATGCTCAGATAGTATTTCAAGCAGGACTGCATGAGACTAAAGTGCTGAGCACTGCCTTTCTAAACGGCTATACTTGTTTGTCTTTTTATTTGTTTTTGGTTGGTTGGTTTTTTCAAAACAGGGTTTCTCTGTATAAGAACTCTGGCTGTCCTAGAATTCATTTTGTAGTCCAGGCTACCTTGAACTCAGAGATTTGCCTGTCTGTATTTCCTGAATGCTGGGATTAAAGGCATGTGCCTCCAAGCCCAGCTACTACTATACTATTTTAATGTCACTTTGACATACATGTCATTCAGTCTTAACCTATCTTTGTCTTGGTAGATGATCACCTGTGCCTTGCAGATTTTGATGACCCTCTATAAGTCATCTGTCTAGGTATCTATTGGATACCTATAGGTATTTCTATAGGCATCTGTTAGAAATGTGGTTTTTTTTTTTTGTTTTTGTTTTTTTTTTTTTTTTGGTTTTTCGAGACAGGGTTTCTCTGTGTAGCTTTGCGCCTTTCCTGGAACTCACTTGGTAGTCCAGGCTGGCCTCGAACTCACAGAGATCCGCCTGGCTCTGCCTCCCGAGTGCTGGGATTAAAGGCGTGCGCCACCACCGCCCGGCAGAAATGTGTTTTAATTTGTATTATTTGTGTTTTACAGCTCTTGGGACTCCAAAGGAATCTGAGAACACCCTTCCCATTCAAGTAGATTATGATGCCTACGATGCTCAAGTGTTCAGGCTGCCTGGTCCATCCCGGGCTCAGCGCCTCGCCACCTGCAGGTTTTCTATCAGATTGCCCTGGGGGTGCATATGAAATTATTTAGGGGCTAGACATGTGGCACAGGTCTATAACTTAGCACTCAGGAGGCAAAGGTAGAGGAAGTTCAAATTCAAAGTCAGCCTCAATTACGTAGTGAGATTATATATCAGGAAGAAAAGATTGGTTAAGAAACCCTGAGAGGTGCTTGCTTCGTCAGCACGTATACAGAGATTAGCATAGCCTCTGTGCAAGGATAACACACAGATTCATGAAGTATTCCATATTGTTTTTAATTCCAACATTTGTTTGTATTAAAACAGACTATTATTATAAAGCAAAAAGAAAACCTGAGGGACCTTTATGAGAGCAACCTTAAAAATGTTTAAATTGGGGTTGGAGGGATGACTTCAGTGGTTAAGAGCTATTGTTATTCTTTCAGAGGACCCAGGTTCAGTTTCTAGCATTTGTACCATCTAGAACTCCAGGTTTTAGGAGCTCGAAAGCTTTCTTTGGACCTCCATGGGCACAAGGCAAACGTGCACCTACATACATGCAGGTAGACTATTTACATACATAAAAAAATCTTATAAAAAATTAAATTAAAATTAGCCTCATGAATGCTATGTTGTAGAGATCATTGGGGATTCCATTTGCAGGCTCTTGGGTCTACCTATTTTGTTTCTAGTGAAGTATTGTCTCACGACACTAGAAGATTCTCAGATGTATTTTAGCCAAGAAATACACTTCACAAAGCACAGGCTATTATTCCAAGGACAGAGTTTTTCTTTTTTCTTTTTTCTTGTTTGTTTGTTTTTCGAGACAGGGTTTCTCCATGTAGTTTTGGTGCCTATCCTGGATCTCTGTAGACCAGGCTGGCCTCAAACTCACAGAGATCTGCCTGGCTATGCCTCCCGAGTGCTGGGATTAAAGGCATGCACCACCATTGCCCGGCTGAGTTTTTCTTTCTTTAACTCCCACTCTGTAAATTTTCTCTGTATTGTTTTGACCAAATAATAGTTTCTAATTGTGATAGATTTAACAACCTGTTCATTTTTGGGTCTTGTGTGGTTTTCTTGAAATGTACTTGGAGCTGGAGCGATGGCTGTGCAATTAAGAGTACTTTCGGGTACCCAGGTTCAGTTTCCAGCACCCATGCCAGGAGACTCACAACCACTCTCTGCAAAGGCACTTGGCACAGAAACACACCCACACCCACACACAGAAACACCCACGTACTCATAGTTAAAAATAAAATAGCCAATGTGGTGGCACATGCCTTTAACCTCAGCACTTGGGAGGCAGATCTCTTGAGCTTGAGGCCAGCCTGGTCTACATAGTGAGTTCCAGGACAGCCAAGGCTACATATTAGAGTGAGCCTGTTTAAAAAAAATAAATAAAATAAATAAATATATATATATATATTTTTATATATTTTTTTTGGTTTTTCGAGACAGGGTTTCTCTGTGTAGCTTTGCGCCTTTCCTGGAACTCACTTGGTAGCCCAGGCTGGCCTCGAACTCACAGAGATCCGCCTGGCTCTGCCTCCCAAGTGCTGGGATTAAAGGCGTGCGCCACCACCGCCCGGCTAAATAAATATTTTTTAAAAATGAGCTACTCTAAGTTATATGTTCTTAAAACATTTATTTTTTATTTTTATATGTATGAATGTGCTTGCATGCAGGCCTGTGTACCAGGTGTGCGCCAGGTACTCAGGAACCCAGACAACATCAGACCCCCTTGGATGGCATTATAGACAATTAATTATGAGCCACCATATGGGTGCTGGGAATTGAACCCAGGTCCTCTAGAAAAACAGCTGGTGGTCTTAACCACTGAACCATTTTTCCAACCTCTATGTTTTATTTTATTAATAGTCTTGGATTGTTTTCCCCATATTAGGAATGGAACTTAGGGCTTCAAGCATGCTAAGCAAATATATTAGATCCCTTTTGTTTTGAGATGGAGTCTCAATGAGTTAGTTGCCCAGGCTTACTCTGAACTTACTATAGCTCAGTTTAGCCTTGAACTTGTAATTTTTGAGCCTCAGCCTTTGGAGTAGGTGGGATTATAAGCCTGTACCAACAAGCTTGACTTATTTTGTATTTCTGAGACAGGCTCTTGCTCCATAGCTCACACTGACACCTGGAACTACTTAGGGGACTCAGTCATAGCTATGCAGGGGCTTTTCTTACAGCTTTTTGTTTCTGTTTCTTTTTTCAGATTTAATTTCTTATTTATGTATATTGTGTCAATATGTATATTTGTTTGCCACAGTGTGAGCAGGTACCCACAGTGGCCAGAAGACTGGATTGGATCTCCAGGATCTGGAGTTACATTAGGTGGTTTTAAGCAGCCTGATGGATGCTAAGAAGCAAATCCAGGTCCTCTGGAAGAATAGCAAGTGCTCTTAACTCCTGAGCCATCTCTGACTTTTCTTTGGAGTTTTTGTTTTTGTTTTTTTTTTTTGGTTTTTCGAGACAGGGTTTCTCTGTGTAGCTTTGCGCCTTTCCTGGGACTCACTTGGTAGCCCAGCCTGGCCTCGAACTCACAGAGATCCGCCTGGCTCTGCCTCCCAAGTGCTGGGATTAAAGGCGTGCGCCACCACTGCCCGGCTTCTTTGGAGTTTTTATTTTATTTTTGAGATTGAATTTTGCTGTATTACTCAGGCTGATCTCAAATTACTGGACTCAGGTGGTCCACCTTCCTTAGACGCCTAAATTGTGGGTCTGCAAATGCTCCCCACTATGCCTAGCTATACAGACTATGCATTTTAATAGGTCCTCCTGCCCTTGTACATGACTAAGTGTTCTCTGATGCTCAAATAGCTACTATTGAAGTAATGGATATGTGATCAGGCCTTGAGATCTATTTTCAGGCTACCTTGAAGCTCTTGACTTAACGTGAAAGTCTTTTAGGAGGTTGGAAACAGCCCTGATGCTAGAAGGGCACCCTGTTGTTGGGCTAATTCTTCTATTCCGAGGTTGTCTCTTCACTGCGCTTTCTCCTTTTGATCTTTCTTCCTAGTGCTCCTTGAGATTTTCCCCTTAGAGAGTTTCATGTTTTGTTTTACCTTTATTTTTGTGTGTGGATGTTCGAGTATGTGTCTGTACACTATCTGCATGAAGTGCTTTTGAATACCAGAAGAGAGTGTTGGATCCTCTGTGACTGAAATTACAGTTTTGAGCCATCATGAAGATGCTGAAAATTGAACTCGGATTCCTTGAAGAGCAGCCCTAACCATTGAAACATCTTTCTAGTCCAAAGTTTCATGTTTTTAGTTTTGTTTTTGTTGTTGTTTATTTATTTTGTTTACAGTGTTCTGTCTGCATGCCTACCTGCATGCCAAAAGAGGGCATCAGATCTCATTATAGATGGTTGTGAGCCACTGTGTGGTTGCTGGGAATTGAACTCAGGACCTCTGGAAAAATAGCCAGTGCTCTTAACCTCTGAGTCATCTCTCCAGCTCAAGTTTCATGTTTTAATGAGTGTATTATTACAAAAAATTCTCTTAAGGAAACAGTAGAACTTGATTAGAGAGCAAATGTACTAGTTATTTTCTCACTTTTAAATATGTTTTAAATATTGGCTGGAATGTTTCAAAGCAAAAGTTAGGTATCCTTTTCTTTTCATCTGTACATGTTTCAGAATACATTTAAAGAATCAATTTATTTTAATTTTTATGTATGGGTGTTTTGCCTTCATCTGTGTCTGCACATGCAGTACCTGATGAGGTCAGAAGAGGTCATTGGATGTTCTGGAACTTTAGTTACAGACTGTTGTGAGCCAGCTAATATGGCTGATAGGAACAGAACTTTGGTCCTCTGCAAGAGAAGCCAGTGTTCTTAACCATTGGTCCATCTCTTCAGCCCAACTTGAGTATACATTTTTTTGTTTTTTTTTGGTTTTTCAAGACAGGGTTTCTCTGTGTAGCTTTGCGCCTTTTCTGGAACTCACTTTGGAGACCAGGCTGGCCTCGAACTCACAGAGATCCGCCTGGCTCTGCCTCCCGAGTGCTGGGATTAAAGGCGTGCACCACCACTGCCCGGCTGAGTATACATTTTTAACAAATAACTTTTTGGAGAGTCTTGAGAGATGGTTCATCAGTTGAGAGCACATACTGTTCTCCCAGATGACCTGAGTTCAGTTCCCAGCCACAACATTGGCCCTCTCACAATTTCCTATAACTCCAGCTCTAGGGGGATCTGATTGGGGCACCTACAGTCACATGCACATACCCTGTTGAACTCATGGTGATCCTTCTGTCTCAGCCTTTCAGTAGCCAGGATTACGTATAAACCACCATGCCTTTTTTTTCCCTCTTGAGATAAAATCTTACTTTGTTGTTCAGACTAGCATTATTTCCCACATTGAAAGTTTTAATATTGGTTTCCTGAATATATATAGCTAATGGTCATCGTGGATATTTTAACTCAAAGTTGAAATGTTCTTTTCATGGTAGTAATTTGTCTCTTGCATGTCAGGTCTGTGAGAGAACAGGAGAATCATAATCGCAAAAGTGCCAGCTCCTGTGATGTCTCGTCCAGCCCTTCCCTACCAAGCCGTGCACTGCCCACTGAGGAAGTGAGGAGCCAAGCTTCTGATGATAGCTCCTTGGGCAAGAGTACCAACATCCTGATGATCCCCCACCCCCACCTGCACCAGTATGAAGTCAGCAGCTCGCTGGGCTACACCAGCACCCGAGGTCAGAGTGCTGAAGCGCAGACAGAGCTGGGAAGGGCTGGGGACAGTTCCTTTGCAGTGTGGGGCAGGGGAGTGACAGGGATTGATTGGAGTGGGGTAGAAGTCTCATGTTTTAGTTATTTCCATTCAGTGAGTGGGTACATCCATATTAGGTGTTGCATGTGTATTAGACTATTTTTGTCTCTAACCTTTTGTACATCATCTACAGGGTCTTTTTAGGCCTAAGGTTAAAAAGGTTTGTTCTTTTCTCATCTTAATTTGTGCCTTATTTAAAATAATGTGTCCTCTGTAGTTGGCTTTGCATAGTTATGCCTTTTTCTTTGCAGTAATGGAGGTTAAACTCAAGGCAAGTGCCATACTACTGAGTTATATCACAGCTCTTTTTGCATTTTTTAAATTTTGAGACAGGGTCTCACTAAGTTGCCCAGGCTGGACTTGAACTCTCCCTATAGCCTAGATAGTCCTTGATCCTGCCATCCTCCTGCCTCAGCCTTCAGAGTTAGTTGCAGTTATAGACCTTGTTACCAGGTCCAGTTCATATTAAATCCATGGATTTGTGTATCCATACATTAAATGAACAGTGGATTAAAAGAAATACATATTTTTAAAAAATATTTGTACTGGGAGCTGGAGAGTTGGCTCATCAGTTAAGAGCATTTGCTGCTCTTGGAAAGGACCTAGATTTGATACCCAGCACCCACATAATGGCTCACAACCTCATCTATAACCCCAGTTCCAGGGGGATTCAGTGCCCTCTTCTGATCTCTGAAAGCACTCATCATGTATGTGGTACCTAGACATACATGCAGCAAAACACCTATATAAACACACAAAAAGTTTATACTGAACATAATCATACTTTTTATTCTTATTATTTCTTAAATAATACAGTATAGCAAATACATGGTATTTATATTGTATTAGTTGTTATAAGTATTCAAGAATTATTTGAAGTATATGTGTAGGTTATATGCAAATACTCTCCTTCTCTATAAGGGATTTAATATCCACAGTGGGACGGATGGAAAGACTCTTAGAATCAGTCTCTCACAAACACCCAAACATGAGCTATATTCTCTCTCCCTCTCTGATTTTATTATGCTTAATTTTTATTCTATTTTTTTTAGCCTTTTAAATGAATTGGTTTAACTAGGAGTGATAGTGCACACCTTTAGTCCCATCACTGGGGTTGTGGATTTCTGTGAGTTCAAGGCCAGCATGGTCTATTTAGTGAGTTCCAGGTCACTTGAAGCTACACAGTGATACACTGTGAGAACCTATTTAATTATAAAAAAAAAAGAAAGAAAAAAAGAAGGTTGGCTTATTTCAGGGTCATAGGGACTTCAGAGTACAACAGAGAAGAAACAGCAGGCTCTGGCTGGACTCTAGACTGGGTTCACTTTAAATTCACAGTTCAGCCAGGCAGTGGTGGTGGTAGTGGTGGTGGTGGTAGTGGCGGTGTACTCCACCCGCCACTCAGGAGGCAGAGGCAAGGCAGAGGCAGGTGGATCTCTAAGTTCAAGGCCAACCTGATCTACAGACCGAGTTCCAGGACAGCCAGGGCCACACAGAAAAACCAAAACAAAAAAGACATAGGATGGTTCTGTAACCAGGCCTGGTGACACAGGTCCATAATCCCAGCTACTGGGTAGGCTAAGGCAATAGGGTCACAAGTTCAGTACCTGCCTGGCTATGTGGTGGTTCAAGGCCAGCCTGAGTAATGATATAGTACTCTCTCAAAATTAAAAATAAAAACCAAAAAGTTTGTGTTTGGGAATACCGTTCAGTAGTAGAGCATTTGCCCAGCATGCAGAGATCTGAGTTCTATCCCCAGTACAGCAACAGAATACAAAGAGCCTCCCTCGAGCCACCCTTTAAAGCCATCTCCTCCTCTAATCATTGTCCTCCATAATTTCATTACTTAAGAATATGTAGATGGGGGCAGGAGCGATGACTCAATGATTAAGAGCACGGGCTGCTCTTCCAGAGGACCTGAGTTCAATTCAACCACATGGTGGTACACAGCCATCTGTAATGAGATCTTGCAGGCATACATGCAGGCAAAACACTGTATACATAATAGATAAATCTTTAAAAAAAAAAAAAAAAAAGAATGTGTAGATGGGAAGCATACCCAACCTGATTTGTGTTTATAGCCTTAGGAATGTGGATGTACACAATTGTCCCTCTTGGCCTAGAAGGAGCCCTTATAGGAAGGGCAGTTTTTCCAGGACCCAGTATGCTAATGGGCAACTTTCAGCTCCTGGGACCCAAGCACTTGGCAACAGGACAAATTCGTCAATTAGGAACTATGACGCTATGCTTAGGGCCTATGAATATTGTTGATGGTTAGATTTCTTTTTCTTTTCTTTTCTTTTCTTTTTTTTTTTTTTTTTTGGATTTTTCGAGACAGGGTTTCTCTGTGTAGCTTTGCGCCTTTTCCTGGAACTCACTTGGTAGTCCAGGCTGGCCTCGAACTCATAGAGATCCTCCTGGCTCTGCCTCCCGAGTGCTGGGATTAAAGGCGTGCGCCACCACCGCCCGGCTTTCTTTTTTTTTTTTTTTAAACTGGCTGAATGCTTGAAATTTCCAAGGAGAAAGAAGCAGGTATTTATTTATGTGATTAGAGAGTATAACCTATGCCACCTACATTAACTTAAAGTTACATTTTCTTTACAAAGAATGATGTTTTAAAATGTTCTTTCTTGCTTTTTTGAGACAAGGTCTCATATAGCCCAGGCTGGCTTCAAACTCACGTGTAGTCCTTCTACCAGATGTGCCTTCGAGATCAAACTCAGACTCAGTGGCAAGTACCTTCACCTGCTGAGCCATCTTGCCGGCTCCTTTTTGAGACTGTCTTGTTTCACTATTCCCTGGGTTGGCCTTGAACTTAACAGCAATCTCCTGCCTTAACCGCCTCAGTGCTGGGGTTATAGATGTGCACCATCTTACCCAGCTGTGTTTCTTCTTTCACTTCCATAGTAATTAATTAGGCCATATTCTTTCTTACTTGATAAATCAAAGCACCAGTTCATTAGTTTGCAGTGTATTCTCTGTGGTTCAGAGAATGATCTGTAACAACTGTACTTTCAGTTTTGAATGAATGAGTTTATTAAATGAGCAAAAAAAGTAAAGGAGTAAATAACGCGTAGATAGAAGCACCAGACAACAGGAAATATTTTCAAATCAGTTTACAACATTCAGCAAACCACTGGAGTAACCTGATTTTTTTTAATTTATTTATGTATATGAGTGCTTTGTTTGCATGTTCCTCTGCTGGCCAGAAGAGGGCACGGGATCCCATTAGAGATGGTTGTGAGCCACCACGTGGGTGCTGGGAATTGAACTCAGGACCTCTGGAACAGCAGCTAGTGCTTTCAACTGCTGAGCCATCTCTCCAGCCCCCTGGAGTAACCTGATTAAGAGAGCAAACAAAGGTACCATCATCAAAGGTTTACATACATCTAGCAGAAATCCACTGGGGGTAAAGTGAATAGAAAATTTCTTTCTTTTTTTTTTTTTTTTTTTAATGGCACACTTCAATGCTTACTTCCTCTTTAGATTTCTTTTTAAGATTTATTTATTTATTATGCATACAGAAGAGGGCACCAGATCTCATTACAGATGGTTGTGAGCCACCATGTGGGTGCTGGGAATTGAACTCAGGACCTCTGGAAGAACAGCCAGTGCTCTTAACCTCTGAGCCATCTCTCCAGCTGGAAAATTTCTTAATTAAAAAAAAAAAAAGAAAGAAAGAAAGAAATCCACTGGGGATGTTGAGGCAGTCAGTTGGAATTCCCAATTCTGTCCATAGATGAGCCTTTGGTTTCATGTTCCCACCACAGATTTTTTTTTTATTCTTTTGAGACAGGGTTCTCTGTGTAGCCCTGGCTGTCCTGGAACTCACTCTGTAGACCAGGTTTGCCTTGAACTCAGAAGATATCTGCCTTCCTCTGCCTCCCAAGTGCTGGAATTAAAGGCGTGTGCCACCACCGCCTGGCTCAGACTGGTCTTTTAATTGGCTGTTTTCCTGCCTACTACACCTTCTGATGTTGGAATTACAGGCATACATCAATATGTCTAGTGACAGAATTTTTGTGGTGATTTGACTACTCTATAATTGTATGCAAAATACAAATCAGATTCAAAGGTGAAATATTACAATGATGTAGGAGATTTCATGCTAGATATTAGATAATGACGATTGAAACTTTTATTTAAGAATTATACGTGAATGAGTATGTTTAGTGGACAACTTTGTGGGTACATGCGAGTTCACAAATGGAGGTCAGAAGACAACCTTGGATTTTGTTCTTCAGGTACCTTCCACTTTTGGTTTGAAACTTGTGTTTGGGGTCTGGCACAATGGCTCAGCTAGTAAAGGAATTTTCTGTATAAGCCTGATGTCCTGAGTTCTGTTTCTAGAACTCAAAGATGAAAGGAGAGAACCAACTCCACAGAATTTGTCTTTGGGTCTCCACGTGTGTACTTCGACACTCATGCCCCCACATACTGTAATAATAAATAAAATTTAAAAACAGCATGGCTTTGATTAGCCTGAACTTTGCCAAGTAAGCTAGGCTAGTTGGCCAGTAGCTCCAGGTATCTGTCTCCACTTCCCATTTCTCCATTGCTAGGATTATAGGCATGTACCACTGAATCTGTTGGTCATAGAGATCCAAACTCAGATCTGATACTTATAGGGCAAGCACTGAGCCATCTTCCTAGGAATCTTTTGTTATTGTTCTCATCCTTTTAAAGACAAGATCACACTGTAGCCTAGGCTGGCCTCAAACTCAAGATGATCCTTTTGCCTCAGCCTACCAAGTGCTGAGATTACAAATGGAAGCCACCATGTCTGGTTAAAACATTCCTTGATGCTACTTTTTTTAAAAAAATGTTTATTTATCCTATGCACATTGGTGTTTTTCCTGCATGCATGTCTATGTGAGTGTGTCAGATCCCCTGGAACTTGAGTTACAGACAGTTGTGAGCTGCCATTTGGGTGCTGGGAATTGAATCCTGGTCCCATGGAAGAATAGACAGTGCTCTTAATTGCCAAGCCCTCTCTCCAGCCCCACTGGATGACACTTTTTAATCAGCCTAGTTGTTTCTTGGACATGGGATGCACAAAAAAGGACTTGGTTCCCCTGGGTTTCTGTTCTTAGATCTTTAGATCAGGCTGTATAGCTTGCTGCTTCCATCTCTGTTATAGGCCATTGCACAGGACAGGTTGAATCTAAATATAACATTTCCTTGCCTGGCCAGGCGTGAACACTTTCTTTATCCTTTTTCCTTAAGAACATTTCTTTAACACAATGACATGTGATTGCTTACACCTCTCTCATTACACAGGTTCAATGTGGGGATCCTCTTAATCATTGAGGAACTCAAGATTCCTTTTATCCTATGATGCCATCATCTTCATCGTTGATTTCCAAAGTTGCCATGGAAGAGAAAAAGATATGGAGATGATGCTTGTACATAGCTGTTGTCTAGTCCATGAATGGACTAGACGTGTTCTTTTGGCTGAAACTTATGTCGTTTGGTTTCAGTGCAAATGGAGAGGGATTCCAGCCTTGTGTGCTCAAAATCAAATGGGTTTAGTGAGCTAGCCTGTTCACCAAACATAGCTTTCATTTGTTTGTTTGTTTATTGAGGCAGTGTCTTACTATGCAGTCTTGGCCAGCCTCTAACTTACTATGTAGATCAGTCTGGCCTTGAACTCAGATCTTCCTGTCTCTGCCTCCCAAGTGCTGTGACTAAAGGTGTGTACTGTCAAAACTGGTTCAACATCAATTTTTTTTATTGTTTTGTCCACATACAGAATATAATGACCTCATTCCCAAGGGAAATAACTCAAGTCCTATCATTACTCATTGCATCCAGCTTAGTATTCCCGGTCACCCCCGGAAAATATAGGAATCCATTAGATTTGTGTGTCTTCACTAGGTCAGGTCTTCAAAATATTTGAAAAATAAATCTAAGCATGTTTTATTTCTTTATAGTTTCATAATTTTACTTATTTCTCTTACTTCCTGGTATTTATGATGTCCTAGATTTTTGCTGATCTTGACTCATCAATCTACTTAATTCTGATTTCATTGTGGATTTGTGTTTTGTCTTTGTGTTCCATCCTATTATTGACAGCAGATGTCCTGGAGAACATGATAGAACCACCACAGCGGGACTCTAGTGCGCCAGGAAGGTTCCATGTGGGCAGTGCAGAGTCCATGCTCCATGTTCGACCCGGTGGATACACACCTCAGAGAGCACTGATTAACCCCTTTGCCCCCTCAAGAATGCCCATGAAGCTCACATCCAACAGAAGGCGCTGGATGCACACTTTTCCTGTAGGTAAGTTGGCTGCTCAGGAAAGAGCCTTGGACTGTGAGTTCCTAGCTCTGGTCCATGTGTCAAGTGCCTTGACGTCTGTGAACCTCTTGGTTCGGCCAGTGAGATGGACATGCCTCCTGGGCTTTTCCAGGGTCCTCGGGAGGATCTTGAAGACACACTTGAGAACAAGTTCTGTAACTGCCCAGCTGTGTTAACCTAAGGGCTTTGAGTGTTTGTTTGCTTGAAAGGGACTGTGCTTCACATCAGCTTTCCGTCCCTCGTTTTCACACACTGCTCCTCTAAGCTGCATTTATGCTACTTTGTCACTTCTCAGAGATCTCTGAGGGGTAAAGAAGAAACAATACTTTTTACTTCACTATTTTTCTAGCCCATCTTTTTTCTCTGTTTTGGCCTCAAGAAGATGACAGTAAGAATTTATAAAGTTGTACTTTTAAATTAAACTTCAATTTAATGGGTTCTTGCTGGGCCAGGAAGGAATAGATGTATTAGGCTCCATTATGTGTTGTTTGTTTGTTTGTTTTATCTTGTTTTGTTTTGTTTTTAAATAGGAATGATCCTGCTGAATGATTAGAAATATCTGGTTATTTTCTTTTACATTTGATTTTACTGTTTAAAGGTAAATACAAAATGTGGAGTAAATCTGGTTTATTTATTTGACTGTAGTTGGAGGCCATTCCAAACCTCTCTTGTCCCTTGTCTCTGCTAGAATCACACAAGTTGTTTCTTTCTGGTTTTGCTCCCCACCCCCTTTTTGTTATTCCTACCAGATTTATTTTGAGGTGTCTCTGTTTCTCACTTTTGTATTTGCTCTTGCTTTTTATTTATTTTTGAAACAGGGTCTCATATAGCTCAGACTAGCATTGAACCAGCCATGTAAGGAGGATGACCTTGAACTTATGATCACCACAACCATGGCCTGTTCATGCGATGGTGGGGATCAAACCCAGAGCTTCCTGCTTCGTACATACTAGGCGAGAACTGTCTCAGTTTGAGTTACATCTCCAGCCCCAGGCTGAAATCTCTCTCTCTCTCTCTCTTTCTCTCTCTCTGCATGTGTGTTTGTGTGTGTGTGTGTGTGTGTGTGTGCATGTGCACACGCTTTCACACACTCATGCTCTTGCATGTGGAGGCCAAAGTGTCTTCTGTTCCTCCTAGTTTTGGAGACAGGCTCAGTTACTGAACCTAGAGCTCACTGATAGGCTAGACTGCTTCCCAACAAGCGCCAAGAATTCTCCTGCTCTATCTCCTCAGCACGGGGTCATAGGTACATAATGTCATGCCTACTTCATGGATGCTGGGGATCTGAACTCAGGTCCTCATACTTGCTTGGCAAGCATGTTACTGATTGAGCCATCTCCCCAGCCCCTAGGCTAAAAACTCTTTTTTCTAAAAAAAAATTTTTATTATTATTTATTTATGTGTATGTCTCTATATGTGCGTGTATCTGAGGTTAGGGCCATCCCCTGGAGCTAGAGTTACAAGCAGTTGTAAGCTGCCTGACGTGGGTACTGGTAATTGAACTTGGGTTCTCTGCAAGAACAATATATGCTCTTAACCTCTGAGCTATCTCTCCAGCCTGGCTAAAAACTCTTAAGAGAGCTTTCTGCTACAACCTTCAGCTCTTTGTGATTTTCCTACCCCACCCTTCATGTCCACATCACTAAAAACAACAACTAGTCTCCAGACACTGTTTACTTTGCTTATTCTCTTGAACACCTGACCTTCTAATAACTAAGACCCTTCTTCACCCGGCAGCCCGGCCTTCTGGCTCCTCATTCCCACCCTCAGAGGCTCTTTCCCTTCTTACCCAGTCTCCACACACTTTTACCTCTTTCACATTTGGGATTCATAGGTATTTCTCCTACCCAGGTATATTTTTCCTTTAACCCTTGGTAACCTCGGTTAGCCCTCTAATTTGTATGTTTCCAGGAACTGCCTTTTAGTAGACATGACTAACTCCAACCTCTCCTATTCTGTCTTTTTAGTGCTTAAGCATCCTAGATTCCTACTGTTATTTTCTGATTTTTTTTTTTTTTTTATTTTGAGACAGGGTTTCTCTGGGTAGTCCTGACTGTCCTGGAGCTCACTCTGTAGCCTTTAGCTCAGAGATCTGCCTGCCTCTGCCTCCCAAGTGCTGGGACTAAAGGTGTGCACCACCATGCCTAGCTTGTTATTCTTTTTTTTTTTTTCTTTGTGCAACCTTGGCTGCCCTCGAACTAGCTCTGTAGACCAGGCTGGCCTCGAACCCACAGAGATGCGCCTGCCTCTGCCTCCTGGATGCTGGGATTAAAGGCGTGCGCCACCACCGTCTGGCCTATTATTTCATTGTTATTTTCCTTCCCTTTTCATCTTTTTATCCTCTTAAACTTGTCTGTTTCTGTATGGCATCTCAATAGTATTCATGAAACCGAGAGTCCCAGCATGTAGTACCAGATACAGTGTGGGCAGAATCCTCTGTGGGAGCCTGCAAGGACCTTGCTATGCTCTTTGTCAGATCTCTCCAGTGACCTAGCAGTTGGAGAGAAGGAAGAGTTATGTTTTCGTGTGCAGCATGAGCGGTCAGGTCGGAATGACATTCAGTGGTTCTTTGTCTGGGTAGGACCATCCGGAGAGGCCATCCAGATCCATCATCAAACCCGGCAGAACATGGCAGAGCTGCAGGGCAGCAGGCAGAGGGACCCCACCCACTCCTCTGCAGAGCTGTTGGAGTTGGCATATCATGAAGCTGCCGGAAGGTGAGGATTTGCACAGTACTCTGGAAGGTAGCCCAGGACAATGCTGAACAGACTGCTGATGAAATGACACATTTGTGACTTAGAACACATTGGTCAGGTCCTCCTTTGTCACCCAGCATCATTACCATCCCTGGGCAAAGGGTAAAGGCAAACAGCCTGATATTTTCCCTGTAATATTACCAAGGCCCTGCTTTAAGTTTGTTTTGAGCTTACATTTTGTAAACTTAATTTTCTTCCAAACCTTGGTCAAGGATGAAAATGAGATATCTCTCTTTTATCTTAGGGTTTGCCTATGGCATGCTGGGGCAGGTGATCCATGCTGTTCTCTTAGACAGCTTCCCTGTGACTTGGCATATTGGTTTTTGAACAAAAGCTCTGAATGTCTTACAAAGTATCTGAAGAGTCAGTATAGGAAGAAAGTCATTTAAGCCTTGATGAGCAGGACCCTAGTTTAAACCTGGTCCTAAATTGCTTTAGGAAGCACTTGATGAAAAGCAGCCTTGGCCCCTTCTTTGGACACTGGACATCCTCTCTGCTGGGGGATGGTCATGTGGAGGTCTGGACTCCTTACTTTGCCCTCTTTACTAGGTTAACTCTGGTACATCTGTTCAAGCATTTTATATCCTTCCTTTGTTATTAAGGGGGAGGCATAGGGCAGAAAGGGGAAGTGGTATAGCATGGTGGTAGGTGAGCAGCCAGGGTTGCAGGGCTGACACACAAATAAAACTACCACATGATGGTTTGAGGTATGGATCCTAAGGGTTGCCAGCCTATGCAACTGAATGTTCAGGCCTGTTTTTCATGGGTCCTCCTCTCTCCACTTACCCTCTCCCCTGCACACTAGGGTACAGGGTGCGCAGGGAAAAAACATGATGATCTACATTAATTAAACCAGGTGGCCTGGCTTTGTTCTCTGCAGGCACAGCACTTCCCGCCAGCCTGGTGACAGCATGTCCTTGAACTTCAGTGGAACAGAAGAGCTTTCTGTCAGCCTGCTTAGCAACAGTGGAGCAGGTAACTCATCCAAAAAATAATAGAGTTGGGATGCTCAGAGCAGGCTCACATCTAGAAGTGACATAAAGGCCAGAAAAGCAGACCAGGTCTATTTTTGGGATCATTTCAGCCACAATCTGGGGTGACCTATTTAGAAGCAATACTGTATAATGCATGGAATTATAAATGGTCTGCACATTACATTTTTAGCTGAGAACATGTTGGTCAAGACATATTTATCATCATTTCGTCAGGGAGTCCTGACTGAGAGCTGTGAGGTGTTGAGGGTAGCACCACAGACCAAGTAGGAGTAGTCTGTTTTACAGGTACTTTGGACTGCTAGGCCTGGGGAACAAATGCACCTTCATATAGAAACAATCCGTAGGGAAGTGTGATTTCTGTCATAGCATCACAAAAGAGAAAGATGCCTGTGGGTAGTGGTATATACGTTTAACCCTAGCACTCTAGAGGCAGAGCCACGCAGAGGCCTCTGAGTTTGAGGCCAGCCTGGTCTACATCGTGGGTTCTAGGCCAGCCAAAGCTACATAATAAGATATTGTCCAAAAAAGAGAGAGGGTAGAGAGAGGTTATGTAGTTATGTTGAAGAGTATCTCAGGTTGAAAGGGATAGAAATTGTTGGACGGAAAGTTAGAAGCTACAGATTCCAAGTGCAGGTGATGGGTGGAGTACCATCTTGGTTTTTACTCTTTCTAGAAATACTTGTATAATTTAGAAATCCCAGGAAGGCATATATTACTAGACACAGATTACATGGGCAATTGAAAGCCTAGAGATACAGAGATACCAGTTTCTCACAGCAGTGCAGACATCCTCATTTGAGCACTCTACTCAGAGTGCCTTTTAAGGATGTTAAGGGAACATGCGTTTAGATAGGTACCTTTTCTGCAAAGCAGGTATTTTACATGATGAGTGTGGAAAGATTGAAACAATAAAATAGTACTACTTCATCATGTCTATGTCCTATAAATTGACTTGCATTTCTAGAACTTGGCTTAAGATTTTTGAAAGTAAAGCTGTGTAAAGGGGTTTAATAAGGGCTGGAGAGATGGCTCAGCAGTACTCAGAGTACTGACTGCCCTTCCAGAGGACCTGGGTTCAATTTCCAGCACCCACATGGTGGCTCACAACTGTCTGTAACTCCAGTTCCAGGGGACCCAAAACCCTTGACAAAACACCGATGCACATAACAAAAGAAAAAAAGGGGGGTGGTTAATGATACTGTTCCTTGGTCACTGGTAGAGTGATCTGATCACTGGTAGAGTGATCTGACTGAATTCCTAGAGCCCATGGAGAAGTGATTAAACTTGAGGAGTGAGTTGGCAATAGAATCCCCAAATCATTTCAATCTCATTCGATTATTCATTTTAAATGAGAAACAAGTAAAAGTTTGGGGCTCTGGAGGTATTTTTATGTCATATATTCAGGGTGCTTAAATGTTGCATGGCTGCAAGATTTCCTAAAGTGCCTGCAGAATGTTACAAAGGCAACATTTCTATCACTTTGTTAAACTAGGAAGCTTGTTTTTAGGAACCAAAATTTGAGTTTCCCTGGCCTTGGTTTACTGAGGAAGGCTGTTCTGGTGGTTCCGTGGACTGTTCCTTGAGCTAGCTCGACCAGTGACCAGAAGCAGGAGGATTTAATTGAACCCAGATCCTGCAGCCAGCACCAGGATCTACCTAGAAGAGTCTTGATTTGAGGATGTGTGTGGAAGATCTTTAGGTGACATTGTCGTATCCTCTTAGCTGAGAGTTTCCTGGCACACATGTGCACACAGACAGGCAGGTATTGGGAAAGCATTTGCTTGCAGCCTGGCTCTCTGGCTCATCTTTTCCTCTTGGGCTCCTAAGTTGTCAGTCTGCCTAACGGATGGACTACTCTGCTTGGGTGGCAGATGCCTCATCGTGGATGTGGTATCGTCTGCCTACCCTTCCTTCTCTTCTGCCCTTTTGTTCTGAGGCTGGCTCCTCAGCTCCCTACTTGAGGCTTTTGTACAGGCCTTTGTTGTCTCTGTTCAGGATCATCACAGTAGCTCTTCCTGCCCTGTTCCTTTCTCCTTCAGGGAACTACCATGCTGTCACCAATGAGGTATTTCAAATTGCAGATCTGACCAGCTTTTTCTTCTCACATGCACAGCCATCAGTGGCTCTTTATGGCTCTTGACACCAATCATCACCTCTCTCCTGTGTCCCTTCGTGTCTTCACTTGACTCCACTTTAACAAGGTGTTGAGTATAGAAAGATTACAAGTTCTAGAATCTTAGGACATGAGACTTGTTCCACCTCTAATGAGTAGTGAGTCCTTTGGGCCAGTTACTAACTTCTTACACCTCAGTTTCTTCGTTGTGAAGGGAATTTTATGAAAATGTTAACAAAAACTAAAAATAACTGTGACAACTATATGAATGCTTGGAACAGTGCCTAGCAGACATGAGTGGTCAACAGATAGGGGGTGTCGCTAATAATGCATGGGTTTTTCTTATATCCCAGCTATGGTCTTCATATTTCTCTGTGCCGTCTCATCATCCCAATGTAGAATAAGCTCCTTTCCTGTCTGCAAGCCCTATTCTACCTGAAAACATCCCCTTTCCATGATGGTTCAGCTCCAAATGTGCCTCCTTGTTTGAAGCTTTTCCTTGAGGTTTCTTTTCCAACTCATGCTCTCCTGAGAGATGTTAGACATGCTTCCACACAGATCCTGACCTGATCCCAATTGCACGACTTGGTACATGGTGACCCCATTGCTTTCATATCTATCTCTCCACAGACTTAAGGTGTTTACTGTTATTTATCTGTTTATAGTGTTTGGCATGTTTATTGACAAATGAAGTTTTATTTCAAAGACTACGCTGTCATGTAAGAAGCTTTAGAATGACTTACAAAATTATTGTTTAATTTGTACTTGAGTATTTGTGTATGTGTATGTGTGTACTTGTGTGTATTCTACAGTGTTTAGCTTCTTAGAGACTATGGGCTCCTTGGGTTGTTTTTCCTAGTCAGGGTGATACAGTTATTAGAGGTTACCCTTTTCTTGCCTATCCCCTTATGACCTGTAACATAAGTTTTGAAAAGGGCCAAAGGTCATCAGGAAGTAGTCCATAACCTATAGTTGTGGTTTTTTTTTTACTCGTTGGGCTCTTTTGGCAGCCCGCCACCCAGTTCCCAAATAAATACATGGAGGCTTATTCTTACTTATGAAATCCCAGCCTTAGCTTGGCTTGTTTCTAGCCAGGTTTTCTTAAATTATCCTGTCTATCTTTTGCTTCTGGGCTTTTACTTTTCTCTATTTTATATACCTTTTTTAGTTCTTACTCTGTGGCTTGTTGTATAGCTGGGTGGCTGGCCCCTGATGTCCTCCTCCTGCTCCTTTTTTTTCCACTCCTAGATCCCCGCTCCCAGATTCCTTTTCCTATTTATTCTCTCTGCCTACAGCCCTGCCTATCCTTTCTCCTGCCTTGCTATTGGCCATTCAACTCTTTATTAAACTAATCAGGTGTTTTAGACAGGCAAAGTAACACAGCTTCACAGAGTTAAACAAATGCAACATAAAAGAATGCAACACATCTTTGCATCATTAAACAATATTCCACAGCATAAACAAATGTAACACATCTTCAGCTAATATATATACATATTAAGGTTTTTCAAGACAGGGTTTCTCTGTGTAGTTTTGGAGCCTGTTCTGCAACTCACTCTGTAGACCAGCATGGCCTCGAACTCATAGAGATCCGCCTGGCTCTGCCTTTTGAGTGCTGGGAGTAAAGGTGTGCACCGCCACCGCCACCCCACCCTCCACACCCCGGCTCAGATAATATTCTTCAACAGTAACCACATGGGAATTGAGTTTCATTTTTGAACCAAGGCTACCTGACAAATCATATTAATGAGCACAAAAGGAAATTAGATTAAATCTTCATAATTTTTATTCCCATAATACAATAATAACAGTTAGTGTCCAGTTTCTCTTAGGGTATATCTAGAAACTTTTCTTTGTTGTTCTAGCCTAGCCTAAGGTGTTGTCTTTTACTTGGGTGTAGTAGTCTGTTAGCTTTCTTTTTTTGCTCTTTCCTTCTGCTTATTTTCTTTCTTAAAGATGTGTTTATTTATTTGTGTTTGTGTGTGTGTATGTGTCTGTGCAGTATATAAGCATATGTTGGGGGAGATGTACACAATTGTGTACATGCAGAGGCAGGTAAGGGCATCAGATGTCCTCTTCTATTACTCTTCATCCACATATTTGTGGCTGGATCCATAAACAGAAGTTTCTGTCCTGCAGCAACTCCCAAATACCCAGCAGCTGCTTCCCAAATAATTGACTCTGAGACTTAATATTACTTATAAATGTTTGGCTGGTAGCTCAGGCTTATTATTAACTAGCTCTTAAACTTAAATTAACCCATAGTTCTTATCTATGTTTAGCCACATGGTTGGTGGCTTGTAACTTCAGTTTTTACATGTCTTGCTTCCTTGGCATCTGGCTGGCATCTGCCCAACTCTGCCCTTCTCCCTATATCTCCGTTTGGCTTTCCCAACCAGCCTTATTTTAATTGCCTGGCTATTGGCCCAAACAGCTTTATTTATCAACCAATGAGAGTAACACACATTCACAGTGTACAGAAAGACCATCCCACAACATGGATTTGTCCATGAACCTAGGACTCATACCTTCTCAGCTAGTTTAGAAGCCAGGGGTCCTTTTTCTTCACCCCTCTTGGAGCTGGGGTTACAGGCATTTTCAGGGAGGAGTGCCTGTCTTGATTTGGGTGCTGGAATCTGAACTCTAGTACTCATGATTGCAGAACAGTGTTCTTAAGGGCTGAGCCATCTCTCCAGCCCATTCTATTGTTTATATAACAAAAACAGATTGATTCAGAGTAAATATTCTAAAGTAGAAGTCAGATCATGAAACTTACTTATACAAAGCCCTCTAAGGGCTTCTCAACTAACATTTAATAGCTATGGCATTGCATGTTTCCATGGTTAGCTTCAGATCTCATCTGCTTA